TACCCCGGCTTTGCGGTCACTCGGCGTAAGGTGTAACGCGGGGTGAGAGAGCGAAGCAGGGGCAAGTCATCGACTTCTTTCCCTATATTTTCTGTCGCCTACTTGTAGCTTCCCAGAGAGCACAAGGAAGAGAGATTGGAAGCAATCACTGGGCGGCATGTAACAGGCGAGCTTCCTCATCAGGGCTAGACTCTCTCCGGCGGAGATGTCGTCCGGTGGAAATGGAAGTTCTCCAAAAGTCGCGGAGGTTCGTTTGCCGAAAAGATGGAGAAAGGAAGATAATTGATTCAGTTTGCATAAGACGTCCAAATCGAGGACTGCGTCGAAGATATAGCAGGTAACGAGTAGAAGTGAGGAAGGGGGATGAGAAAAGCAACATTAGCAATGATGTGATGGTGCTAATTGTGCCGATAGGGACTAGCTCACAAGCTAATACTCGTAATTACTCTAAAAGAAGCTTCTCCCCTAAGCTTCATTTGCTGAAGTCTGTGATTGCATTCGAGGGACATACCTACTTCATACCCGCGCACAAAGAACATACGGTGCTATCGACGAGGCTGATACGCCTATCCATTTTCTACTGAGATGGATCCAATAGGAAGACCGACATATCTCTGCAGCTCCCCTGAAGAAAAAGCATGCAACAGAGTAGGTCATGTATCAGCAGGCCGGGCTACCTATCTCAACGCTCTCCTCTGCTATTTAGTGTATCATGCACTAGCTTCATGAGGGTTCCAATTGTTCAACGGCAATAGTGATCACCATCCAAAACTTTACGGGTACTTATCACGAGCTGTTGACCTCGGCTTTTCGCCTAACTGTGTTGAAAGAGAATATCGCCGATAGGTCCCAATATTGCCGAGCAGCATACACGAGCATATCTACACGGTTCCTACATGGGCAGTAGGAATCAAGTTTCATGCGGGGAAAGGCTGCTGGACCAGCTACACACGTCCACCGGACAAGGGCTTCATCGTGCCCGGAGCGCAATATTTCCGGGGTTGGCGTCGATCCTTGGGCTAGCTCCAAGTCGCTAACTATACCAGCCGCGTCTCATCAGACGTCTAGACCGTGAAGCGTCAACTGCCGACTGTGGGATATCTTGCGGTGAAGACGGGTTACGGGGAGACTTGGGCAACCCGTCTGCGCAGGACCAACAGAAGAGCCGGCGTAGCCAAATAAATGCCTTCGCACGCTTTCACTTCTACACACAATCTCTGGAAGATTACTAATGACAACAAGGAAATGTCGTGACAAGGACTTTCGAGATATCCACGCATGTATCCAAGATCTGGAAGCGTACATACCAAGACTGATTTCGGACACCTTGTAGGCACTACCATGAGGCATCTGCTAGCCAATTGGCCACAGAGGAATGTCTCCTGTTGTGATTGTTGCATTTTTGACAACCCCGCTTGTGTGGGCACTGACGCGCTTCGTCTTGGCATATTACATACTTTCTGGCCCGGTACCCGCCGAGACGGGGGATCCCCAACCTCAATTCAGACCTCAAGTTCGGAGACTCATTATTCTCCGTGTGAGCCTCACGTCTCGAGCATCCCCTCACCTGACAAGCAACGTTGCGACCTGCTTAGACGAATCGCTTCATGACCAAGACTGGCAAGTGACAGCAACCCTTCACACCCCATGTTTGACGTCCTCATTCACACGGCAACCGGTCGGTGAGATAGTTGACTGCATGACCACAAACCAAGTTGTTTGCCTAGTGCTATGGATCCCACCCAGCGTTCTTCCCGGCTTGCATGGGCGTGCGACCGCTGTCGCCGTCAGAAGCTCAAGGTATCTTTCTACCCACCTCTGCGTCTCCCGTTTCCGCAACTTCCCGGCGGATGCTGACACACGAGTATACACAATTTTAGTGTGATGTGGAGAAGCCATGCATACTCTGTGTCAGGGCCGGCGTCGCATGTGAGCCGCAATTGTCGACCCAGGATGCTCCATTGAAGCGCAAGAGATCAGAACATTCAGATGTCAGTCGTCGGACCAAAGTGACAGCATCACTGGCTGCTTCAAGTTATGCTCAACATGGCGCCCCGCAGGTCCCGATGAGTACCACTTGTAGCCCCTTGAACGATACTACGCACACCGCAGGCTCCTCGCGCTTTGACAGTGCGAGGCTCGATGCGGCCGAGATCACGAGGACCAGTCCTGAGGAAAGCCAGCAGTATGGCGCCAATGACTCGTCGATGGGGTTCGCGAAGATCTTGCTCGGGGAAGACGACGATAGCGACTCGCCAGCCAGTGGAGCCATTCCAGGCGATGCAGGACGCTCAGCCGCCGACCCCCAGTCTTTGGGCTCTATTTTGACGCCGTTGCCTTCGCAGACCATCCTCCAGATCGCCGTGGATGCCTATTTCGACAGGGTGAACTGGTACATCATGCTCTTCCACCGGCCGTCGTTCGCGATTCGGACTCAAAACATCCTCCGGCAAACTGCCTGGAGACGCGACGAGCTGTGTGATGTGCTTCTTGTGGCGGTGGTGGCGGCGGTGGGCTTGCGATGTGTTGAACACGACAAGACGTGGAAAGGCCATCGTTTACTCGAGGCCTACGCGGTCACGGCCGAGTCACTCGTTTCGGACCTGATGTCGCAGATCTCGTCACGCTTCTACGAACTGATGCTGGAGTCGCGCATCGAGGTATTTCAGATCTGCATGCTGCTGACTATTTACCACGTATACTATGGCTCATCCACCTATGCCTGGAACGTGTCGGGTGTGTCCACCAGAACGGCGTATGCGCTGGCGCTCCACTGCGACAAAGCTCGAAAAATGGATGAGGTCGCTCGGGAAGTGAGCAATCGGTGTTGGAACCACTTGGTCGTCTCCGATCAATTCTCCTCAATGATATTCGGCCGTCCCGCATCGCTGGACCCGGCCTTTGCTCAATTTAAAAAGCTCGCAGACTTGGACGATACCGACCTCCCCGAAGGAACGGCAGCCCTCCCCGTCTTTCAAGTGCCGGGTCGACCTGTGTCATTCCTGACCTATCATACTCTAAAGTTTGAGCTTTACGACATCATCCGCCAGACATTACAGAGTTTCAAGGTCCTGCAACTTCAGAGTCCAGTATCTGTCCAGGATCTCAAGGCCTTGATTCAAGTCGTCAACTCCACGGAAGTCATGTTGCAGCAGTGGCATGACAATCTACCCGTGGTGTTCAAATCCTCGCAGTGGCCGGCCGATGATCCCTGGAACGTCCTCGAACTCGACCAGTGCAGTCCGGAGGAGCTCAGTTTGAGGAGGAAGATCGGGTTGCAAGGCTTCCTCCTCCAACTGTTGTACGACGCGGCCCGAGTTTGGGCCCATCGACCCCTGCTCAAACTCCGAATCTCCATATCGCCAAAGGAAGGCAATGACAAGATCGCCCTTGACGATGTTCCCGACTCTCTAGGTATTTCGGTGCGGACCGCGTTGCGGATGTCGCGGGTGCCCGTGCACGAGTTCGAGGGTCACCTCGCGCAGTCCTTTGTGCTCATGCACCTCTTCACGGCCGGCGTGATCCTCTGCATCGCGCCGACTTGTCAGCCGTACAGTCAGGTGGCAGGCGAAGCCAAGGCAGGCGTGCTCCGGATCATTGCCGCGTGTAGGGCCATTAAGGACGAGAGCAAGATCGCCAAACACACCGATCAGATGCTGACGAGGCTGTATAAGAAGACCATGCAACGGGAGATGGACAATGCTCTGCGGCCGCCAGACACTGCCGTGCCAAAGGACCGATTGCTGGCTCCTGCGCTCACCGAGAGGCACTCACAGGATAGTGGTGACTACGCTCGACCACACCGAGAGTCCAGTGTGCTGTCCAAATCGGCTCCCTTCCAAGCGGGTATGGCGACTGCGAGCTCGGCCTCTGGACGTGTAGGCACGCTGTCGGCTTTGGACTACCAGGACCGTATCGCCGATGAAGTGCCGGACCAGCAGCCCGTCGTCTCATACCTGCAGTTTGAATCGCTATACCACAACAACCAGATGAGCTCTTACATTAACGAACACATTGACGAAGCTTATGGTGCTTTTGAACAGAGTAAGTAAATCCGATTCGAGGGAGACTCCCCTTTTTCCCCTGGCATTCCCGCTCATGGCAGCCCCTTGTTGTTGAAGGAGATCAAAGAACATGACTGATGGCCAATGCGTTCCTTCTAGTGTCCAACCTCGATTTTGGCGACTTTTCTTTCAAGCCTTACTGACGAAATCATCCACCGCCACTCAAATCTTTTCATTACATCCCCGTCGGCCACGGCCTTTATCCTCTACCATCGTGCCCATTTCACGAGAGCAGACTCTAAACCACCATAATTTTTGCGGGTATACGGCGACGAATATACTCTCACACGACAAGTTAATCAAGAATCTCCGTCCCTCGACGAGCAATTCCTAGATATCCATAATGCCCCAGGTCGGAATGTCTGGTGATTACGCAAAGCCAGCCATACAGGCAATAATTGAGCTCCCCTTGTCGCACGTCCTCTTTTCTGTTTGGTCAGAGCGACAGTTGCAATCTATGCCTCGCCCCATTACCTGACGAAAACCCGACACCTAGAAGAAACGCAAGAAGAAGGATTACGAATTTGAAGTTGGAGCGGTAGATGCTGATTGCGCACGAGGCACCGAATCTACATTGTACAATTGACTTGAAATTCCAGTCGAGGACCAGACTCTCTCTTTTTTTTTTTGGCTTCTTCTCTCCTGCTTTTCCAGATCATTCATATCATGATATTCGCCCGTGAGCTCCAACCACTCAGGACGTGGGTACAGAGACATCATGTCTCTGAAAAGCCGACAACCCTTGAACGTGAGCGACGAGGAGGTTCATTGCTGATGACATCTCCCTTTTGGCGGTATACGATGGCGGTGATTCGATGTTCCTAAACCCTCTTCTTCATTCTCCCTTATCTTTCTCTCCTCCTCCTCCTCCTCCTCCTCCTCCTCCTCCTTCTCCTCCTCCTGCACGTCCCTACATGAATTCAATTTTGAATTTGATCAATCCAGCAAATCCAGAGGATTGACTTCCCTCTCGCCATCCGAGCCGGGAATCCCAAAGTCCCAGCCACCAAAGGGATGTTCCTCGCAGGACGGACTGCACTTATGTCCGGTCCTCTCCTCCTCTTCCACGGTGTACCTGGCCAGATATGTCTCCATGGCGGCCCACCTCTCCTCGTCCGTGGGACCTTCGACGATCCTCCGTCTCGACCGCTCGATGGCGGCGTGGGCATCGGTCTTGCGCTCTTTTCGCTCCTCCTCGATCTCACGCAGGGCGTCGGCCCGGTCCCACAGTCTGTCCATCAGGGATTTGTGCGCTCGGTGCTCGGTCGACCGCTCTTGCGAGTGCGCATGTGAGGGCGATGGCGGCGGCGGTGGTGGTTGTGGTGGTGGTGACAGTGCTGGCGCTGGCGACCGTTCTGGCGAGCGTCGTAACGAACGTCTGGGCGACCCTACTGATTGGCGTGCTGGCGAACGTCCTTGAGACCGGATGGGCGAACGTCCTGACAAACGCCCAGAAGACTGAGCCGGCGGCGACCGTCGCTCCAACCGTTGTGGCGTCCGTCCTGGCGACCCAGCTGACGACCCTCCTCGTGACTGTGCTGGCGACCGTCCTGGCGAGCTGGCTCGCGCCAGCTGCCCCGAACGTCTCAAACGGTGCACCACGTCCCAGAGGAAGTCGTCGGTCGGGAGGGCGTTCCTCCGCCTCTCCGCCCTCCGACGGGCCGCCGACATGTAGAAAGAAGGCATGGTTTGAGAAAGAACTGGGCGGCTTTAAATCCTCTCAGAGGGGGTCGCTGGATACAAGCGGGATGGGTAGAGTCGGTTGTTTGGGGGACAACGGTTCGCTTCGGAATTCTTTGAGTCGGTGAAGAAGGGGGAAAGAAAGAAAGAAAAGAAAATGAATAGTGTGACGGAGTGAGTGGCAGAGTGACAGTGTGAGATAGAGAGAGTGTGTGTGAATGAATATATTGAGAAAATTGAGGTCTCGGCGTAGGCTAGCCACGCGACGCCTTTACATGTTCCGACAAGAAGGAGGTCGTCGCAGGTCACGATTGTTGTCAGTAGCAGACAGAGGCGCGTGGAAAGCGTGGATAAGGAGGATAAGCAGGTACGAGAATAGAGACACTCACTCACCCTTCCTGGATGTGGAAACGCATGGCCCTGTATGAGGCAAGTAGATAGATCATGAACAGAGCAGTAGGAGGACAATACTAGGGGTGTCAGAAGGGCTAACTCACCCAGTCAGTAAGGAGAGACAGAGCGACATATCTCAGTCATGTCGATTGCGTCCATGCTGGGATGATAGTCAGTTGCGACGACTGCCTCACGGCAATAGAACAAAGACGGGGACAATCCGAAACGGTGGCTTCTCACAAAGAAAGATCAAGACAGCAGTGCAGCATCATCAGCATCATAAAGACATCACCTTAGTTTCGCGCACGAGCCACAATCACGTAACACAGATGCCCTACCTCAGCAGCATAGCCTCTTGCTTGTTCACCACTGACTGTTGCATATCAAACTCCTCCACTCCAGGAACAATCATCAAAGGACAACACACCCACCGACATTTGTGCTGTACCTCTATACCTTTTTTCCTTTTAAACGATTTTGCACAACTTCAAGTACAACACCTCGCCAGCCATCTGCACAAATAGAAACCCATCACCTCACCAGCATATGCGTGGGATGGTTCATCCCCAGAAGAGCGCTGGTCGTGTCGACAACAAAGTCTTGGAGCTCTGTGCACCATCACATCCGACTGGCCAGAATGAAGATCTGGGCTCTCAGCTCCCCAGTCACATCTCTGCCACACAACCTCCTCCTTCGTCTGGTGGCGTGGTCATAGACGGCACCTCTTGTTACTGACTTGGCACGAAGTTTGCGCTTGAAATACCGATTTCTGGATTTGGCATAGGACCCCTGCACCTTCTCGAGAGAATACTGCACAGGCTCCATCCCGATGTTGACGGCGAGGCAAACCTGGTCTTTATTGATGTCGAGTTTGTGTTCGGAACAAGAGGTCCAGATGCAGGCTGCGATACCTGCCCTCTCCATCACCCCGACAACCTTGGGAGTGACAGGCATGAAGAAATCCCGAAAGAGATGTTGCGCAAATTCCTCGACGTGGTCAGAGACTCCCAGTTTCACACATCCTTGATGCAGACGAGCAGTAGCCGCGTCGTTTGCCTTGGTTTGTGCGACGAGGTCACTTGGTTGGAGAGATCGATTCTGACGCGTGTGAGCTGATTCACAACATGCGGGAAAGGAACAACGACGCCCGTAGCAGCGCAGTCGCTCTACCAGAAGCACAAAATGGTTCTGCTGCTGTTCGATAGTCCTTTCGTGGTCGGAATGCGACATCAGGCCGGTAGTGGAAGTTTGTGTTCTACAGCACGCGTCAGCCTTGTCTGGATCTCAGGAGACAAGCGAGCGCAGCACCCGCCTTTACTTAGAGTCTTACGCGACTAACAGCTGTGAGAAACTAGTGTCGTGACGAGCAGCCGACACTCAGATCGGCAATATCTGGTAACAAGATAAATAGACGCGTTGTGCCCTAAGAATGCGTGAGGAGCAGACAAAGACCGGCTGGAGCAAGCGACTAACGTTGTGGTTTCGAAAGAGTAAGGCGGGCCAGTAAATGTGTTGAAGATGGATAGCAATCAGACGTTGGCCAGAACTGACCGAAAGCCTTGGATCGATGCAGTCGAGAGGGAACGGAAGACTTCGAGGTCGGGCGGTAGAAAGTGCGCGAGGAGAAAAAAGAAAACGTGCACTGGCGCTGCTGCGCACAGAAGTCGATCTCGGCGGGAAGTCGGCCATGTTTCCTGTCACAGAACAGAACCGTCACTTTCGTCCTTCAATTTTGATCTTTTGTGTCATTTTTTTATGTCTCATCTGAAGATTTCATTCTCGTTGCCACATCATGCTTGTTTCTTTTCAACTTTTGGAGCCTTCAACATGGTGAATACCAAGATGGTCACGCCCAACATGGCACTGCCACCGATCACATAGGCCGTCTCACGACCAGCCCACCAAAACAGACTGCAGAACACAATGGGACCCAGTGCCCTCCCAAATTGTCCCCAGCTCCGCAGAGCTCCCAGAACTTCTCCTCGATTACTTTCTCGCGCTTCAAAACTCCCCAAACTGTTCAGCCCGGTGACAACCGTAGCCGAGGTCACCGCAAGTAGTGCGCCCGCACAGTACAAGCCAGTGGTGTTTTCTATGCGAGACAGCAGGAAAAAGGCCAAAGTGCTGGAGACGACACCTGTTTTTACTACCGTCAGTGGCGGGAGGCGACGGACGATGGACCCCTGAAGTAACGAGGCAATCAATCCAACAAACCCCAGCAATCGCCCATTGACTTTGGACGGTGACTGGTGGTCTGGAAAGAGAACAGACGTGATCAAGAATGGCAAGGAGAATTCCATCCCCGAAAATGGTAGGAGAAACAGGAGGTGGATCGCATTCAAAACGACCGGATTGTTTGTATGACTGAATTTCGTTGAGCCGGACTTGGTGGTCTTGGAGTCGGAAGTCGCACTTTTCACGGGCCTTGTCTCTGGAAGATGGAAATAGAGGTATAGCGTCTCGACGACGATCAGCAGCAGCGAGAAGCCGGCGGCCGTGGCAAACGGGTTGGCGATTACAGTGGTGACACTGGCAAGGGCAGCGCCCATGGCGGGACCAAAGGTGAAGGCGATACTGAAGCATGCGCCCACAAGGGCCATGGTCGACCCCCTTTGCTCCTCGGTGCTGATATCCGTAGCAATGGCCGTCGCCAGCTGAACATTGCCCTCACTCAGCCCGCCCACGATTCGGCTCAGTAGAAAGGTGCGGAAATCCACGGCGAAGCACCAGAGCGCAACGCTCGCAATGTTGCCACACATGCTCCATAGCAGCGCCGTCCTTCGACCATATTTGTCCGATGCACGTCCAATGATGGGAGATGCGAGGGCTTGCAAAAACGAAAACAGAGAGCCCAGGGCGCCTCCGAGCAGGATTATATCGTATTTCTCATTGATGGGCACGGCGAACGACGACTTGTACGCGTTCAGGTAGTGGAGGATACGATTCAGTGCTGAGTCTGGGTGTGTCTCGAGGCCGCGATAGAAGGCGAGCAGCGAGGGGAAGAGAGGGAGGATGAATGTGAATGAGATCTGCCAATTGGAGGACCATGTAAGCATATGACATTTTACCATGTGTTAGTAGCTGAGTCCGCACTCACCAGGTCCAGAAGTAATGAGATGAAGAGCACCCGCAGGATCTTCTTCCGCTGTTGAGGTGCGATGATGTCCATGTTGCTCTCCCTCCCCAGAAATTTAATGTCGGGCCGAAATTCCAAGATATTGACGTTTAGCGCAGGGAGTCAGTCACCACCAAGCAAAGCTCAATGCTGCAGCAGAGGGTGATATTATGGTGAAAGAAAAGAGAGACGCTCTATTTCTCGGGTTGGAGTGAGGCTCGGAGGGGACAGGACAAAGCTGTTCCAAAAAGATATGTATGCGACCAGCGCTCGAGGGCAATTATGTATGTATATGTCTGTGTGTATGTTATGTATTTACAAGGCAAAAAGGGGCCGTCAATTCATTCACTGAAGGAAACAAAGCGCGCGAAGAAGATCATCATCAGCTCATGTCATGTCATCCTTTCGGTTTTTTTTGGTGGTGGTGGTCGTCGTCGTCAGTGTTGGGTGGGTGAAACGAAAGTTTGCGCGGCTCGGCTGCGCTGCGCTGCGCTGCCGTGACGTTCGTTGGGTGGCGGGCTCGAGAAATGCGTCTCCATTGAGCATCGCGCGGGCCACAAAAACGGGCAAAGACATTCCACACACGGAGCATTTCGGCCCCCTTGCATGTGTGTGACGACCTTGAGCACGTTTTAGTTCCTTCTCGCGTGTCGAACGAACCCCTGCACAAGTAGCGTGTAGGTGGTGATCGGCAATGCCTCGTAAACGGCATTACTAGGCAGTGCCTATTTTAGGGTACCACGGCCACGGCCACGGAGTCTACGAGGCCACGACAGCCTTACAGTATTACTCGGTACTCGTGTGGTCAGGGTAATGAAGCTAGAAACTTTCGAAGGATTCAGGGATGGGGAATATTCTGAGGAGGGTACAATAATCAATGCTCTCTATTGTTTTTGGTAGACAAAGGCATGTATGTATAAAGCGGTGTGTTGTCCCTGGTCTCTCGAAGCTTCACTCGATCATTGCATCCAGCTAACAGCATGGGTTTGCAGGCTGGCTGCCCTGCCACAGAACAGTTCGAGCTCAGCTCAACCACCAGACTTGATGTTCGATAGTTCTAGAACAAAACAGCATTTCTTGTGGTTCATGATGAAAGCCCTCGTTTCGCCTAGCTGAACCTATCCCAAACATTCCTAACAAGAGCATTTTTCTCTTCCGGTCATCATTCGTCTGGCTTCTGGCGGCCTTTTGTTGCGCGATACATACCGTGCGAAAGGACAATACCAAATCCATATGTGGAACAACCTGCAACCGGAAACACCGAAAATTGGGTCCGGAGAGGTGTGCATTTTCCTCCCAATTCATTCCTGACATGGCTTTGGTGGGCTTTGCCTTGAGGAAGTATCAGCCAAAAAGAAGATGAATAACTTTTTGTCTCGGCATCTAGATGTCATCTTCCATCGGCAGGACACCCTCGCGCTGCATCTCGACTCCCACCTCCTCGACCCTCTTCCACACACGCAGGAGATTACCACCCGTGATGCCCTCGACTTGGGTGTCACTCAGGCCGCGCCTCAACAGCTCCTTCAACAGGTCGGGAAACTTGGTCACGTCCTGCAACCCGGTCGGCGTGGTCGGCGTGCCGTCAAAGTCGCTACCGATACCGACGTGCTCGAACCCGATCTTGCCGCCAATGTACATGATGTGGTCGGCGACCCAGGCGAGGGTCGAGTTGGCCGGGTAGAAGGCCGGCAGGGTGTCCGGGACGGTGGCGTTGACGCACGAGATGAACTCGGGCACAAACGTCACCATGACCACCGAATCGGTCTGCTTGACCAGCGGGAGAATGTGGTCCGGGACGTTGCGCGGGTGAGGACACAGCGCGTGCGCCGACGAGTGCGAGAAGATGACCGGCGCCTGGCTGCCGGGAAACGCCTTGGTTTGGTTGCCCGCAAGCACGTCGTGCATTGTCGCGGGATGGACGTGGGCTAGGTCAATCTACGTAGGCGGCATTGATCAGTCATGGCCAGGGTTCACTCATCTGTGGAATCAAAGGAGTGCTCCCACTTACTATCATGCCCAGACGGTTCATCTCGCGTATGAGCTTGGTGCCTAGCGGACTCAATCCACCCCAGTGCGGCGCTGCAGGTATGGCGGCTCCCAGATCAAGCGGTTCCTCGTGGACCGCCAGCTGTGCAGCGTCTGCAAAGGCATTATGGCAATTGTGCGTCAAGGTGACATATCTGGCCCCGAGGCTGTGGTAGAGACGCAGCATGGACGCATTCCTGCCGATCATGTGCAGTCCCTCGAGCCCGATCGGGGAGAGCAGCTTGCCGTGACGTCTGAAAGCCTTCAGGGCTGTGGTGCTGTCGAGCGTGGCGGGAGAAAAGATGTCTGGATGGGCGGCCTGCAAGCGATGGATGAGGTCGATTTGTGAAAGTGCCAGAACGACGGCTGCCATGCAAATATTAGAGGGGAAAAAATGCTCGTCCCATTTTACAGCATGCAAAAGTACTTACTGGAAGCGTAATTTTCATTGGAAAAGTCGAACCCGTCTGCCGGACATTCGACCCAGCAGCTCCAGAAGAACCCGCCCTGTCCGCCCTCCTTCAGCCGGGCCAGGTCATTATGGTCCGGCATCCCGCCGCCTTCGAACCGCGAGCGGAAGTCCTGGTCGTAGATATGGTTCTGGAAGTGCGAACGTATACTCCATGCCAGGTCATCATGTCCGTCTAGTTGGTGGACGGTAGTCGCTCGGTCAGCTGGAACGACACTGGCAACGTTCCCATGAACCTATGGAGGTATCGACCCAGGACACCAAAGGGGTGGGGAGGATGGGGTTTTGATACTCACCTATTAGAGGAGTCCCGGCCATGATCCTTGCGACACGCTGATCCAATGATAGAAAAGACGAGGGAACCAGAGAGAACAGGTATCGGTCTGGTCTGGAAAAGTCGTCTTTCAGTGCCACTCCAAGACCAATGGCCGCAACCAGGAACAACAACAACGGCCGCCATTGAAATCCCCGGTATCGGTCGTAGCTGTCGTCCGCGGTCAATTGAGCTTTGGCCTTTTGGCCGTCTTTAACTCGCACCATAACCGCGTGGCTGTTAGAATCAACGACGGGGAAATAGGTTGGTTGTCGCACGAATGACACTTGACGACGCTGACACCAGAGTCACTTCCAGACAGAAGGAGGAACAAGACAGGCCTCAAAATGAAAAAGACACACCACCAAGTAGTAGTAGATGGGGCCGACTATGTTTTTTTACAAGTTACCAAGTACAAAGGGCGCAAGATAAGTGGCTGTCGACTTATTGGATATAAATGTGCCTCGCCGAGTTATTGAGTGGAGCCGAGATCCACTGCGCCATACTCCTATTCCAGAGCATATACTTCGTGCACCTCGACGGTTTACTTGATATATCCCTCGGTAAAGAGATCACGTAACACGCCTTGTGTCTACATTTGACTGCAGCTCAGTGCTCGCCGTGCTTTCGGACTAGTTTCTTCAAAATCCCCATGGCGCCAGATTTGTAGCTGCCCCCGAAGATTGCGTAGTGGTTCAAGTGATGATACTGCAGGAAAACAGATCAGCCCATCAAGGTGGTTGACGAGGGTTGAGGGATGCTTACACTTTCATATAATGACACTCGATCCTCGTATTCACTCACCGGCTCCGTCTTGGGGACCAGCTTATGATATTCGTCCCAGAATGATGACGGAAACCCGCCAAACATGTGCATGATGCCAAAATCATACTCGTTGTGTGCGTAGCATGAGGACGGGTCAAAGACCACCTCCTCCCGGGGTCCAGGTGTATCCGGGGTCGTATTGTCACGGCCGACGAAGCTGCCTTTGGACTTATTGCCTGACCAGAGATCGCCGTGGACAACGACTGGCCTGACCCCGTCGCTGCCACCCAGATGGTTGCTGCCAAGCAGCTTCGGCACCACCTCGCGGACTGTCCTTTCCACAACCTCGCGCAACTCCGGGTCTCGCCCATTATTCTCTTCTGCCTTCTCGAGGATCGCGAGGAGCCGTCGCTTCCCGAAAAACTCGGCCCACGACGAGGCGAACGTATTGTCTTGGGGCGTGTCTCCGCAGCACGTTGTGACCGGAAACCCAAACTGAGGTGAATCGTAGCCCTCCGGAACCGGGGCAGGAGTCGTGTGCAGCTTTGCGAGTTTTTCTGCCAGAGACATCCCGCTGCCTCTGCCACCACCGCCTCCACCTCCATGTCTGGCTCGCGACGATAACCGTCCATCGAGGTCCAAGAATTCTGTAGCAAGGAAATACCCCCCACCTTTCTCCAGTTGTCCCCAGGCGAAAGATCGCGGACACAGGCTGGGCACGGCGTCATGGATGGCGTTCAGCGAGGCATGCTCCCCTCGGAACATGACCTCTGCGCCAGGCGAACGAGACTGTTTCACGAAAATGGACGTGGTGGACGTGGTAATGCGGAATGTTGATGCAAAGCCAGAGCCGCCATGGGTGGAAATGTGGGCGGTGCTTGCATCAAGGTGGAGGGCGCGGACAATTGCTGGGTCTATGGTGGGCATATTGATCACAGTGACTGGGCAAAAAGAGCGATCCCTCTGGTTGGGGATTCTGCCTTTCTCATTGCAGCATGTTCATCTCGTCCTCTTCAATCATGTATTAAGTAGATGTAGGGCGAATAGAGTGATGTGCTATGATGTAATCGCGTATCCTCGGCGCAGTTGGCACCATCTTCGGGTCATTGGTTCACCGGACGAGGCTGCAGTCTGATCCTTGTGGGCGCATGACAGGTGGTATATGTATCTGGATAGCTGAGAGGGAAATTTCTTTTGCAGAATCATACAATGCTCTGCCCTTAGATACTTGGGTGACCACGGCACAGTCATTGAGCCTTCGAATATATGCATGGGTCCATGAATGGCTGCATCAGCCAGCCTTGTGCCTGCAAATTATCTGTTTGCTTCCCTTAGGTCCTGATAACCCAATTCCGTCTATGTGCCTCGAGCTCAGAAGCGCCTTCGCTATGCCTCGATAAGTCATTCAGTTAAGCAAGTCAGCAATCCTCTCCTCTTGACGTAGAAACTGCTACCTCCGTCCAGTGCCCTTGGGTTTGGCTTTGCCCTCCGCATCACTATTCACGCCACTCGCCGTTCCACTATCCAGCCCTCCGCCGCCTGCACGTTTCTTCTGGCGTAGTGTCTGTCCCTGTCCCTTAAAGTGAGGCTTCACTTCATCGCTTCCGACAGGCTCGCCATTGTCATCCCGCTTACGTAGTGGCTTGACCTCATACCCGAAGAACAGCTTTCCAGGTGCCAGACGCAGGGGTTGGGGACCATTTGTTCTTCTCGCTGGTGGAGATTTCGCGGCATTTGTGGATACACCTCCCACAGGTGTAGATGCGCTAGGTGTCGGAGCTTTCGATCCCCTCTTCGAACTGAGCTTATGGCCCTCGGAAAGGAAATGCGAGGACACTGCGCGGGCTCCAGCGGCAGCTGTGTTAGAGGACGGGGCTATGCTTCCGTAGTTGATCGACTGTGCCATGGTACCCTGAAAATGCACTGGTCCGCCATGTGGCCTTCCCACGCCGCTCCTAGGTGTGCTTGTCCCACTCGTTCGCTCGGGAGGCACATATCCAACAGGAGTGGCGAAATCGACTTCCAGGTCGGTCTCCATAGTCACGATGGCGTGCGAATCTGTGTCTGGCTTAATCTCCAGCACGGCAATATCGTATGTCTGGTCGTTGTATTCAAATGTGAATATATCACCCTTTGTCAGACACGAGAAGTTTCGGAATGCGTTTTCGAGCACGGCCCGTGGGTCGGAGATGTCGAGGAATGCGGGTGACTGAGGTTGGAGCTTGATGAATTTGCCAGGAGGGAGATCTGTCGACTTGATCTGAAGAAGGTCGCCAGGGTCCAACTCGAGGGTTTTCATCAGCTGTCCCAGAATATCAGTATATGCCCTTATAGCTTGGCGGAACAGCGCAAATACCCATTGTGGTAGATATATCCTCCCTTCCTCTGCGATGAATTCCAGCACACCAGCATGCGTACTCTTGCCAGCATTCCCGTTTATCAACTCAAACACCATGGGATATGTAATGTGGAGTCTCGTCAGTTTGTCCAGCGCCGATGGTGGCATGAACACCTTTCCACCATAGTTGACATTCTTTCTATCAGGCCCGCTCATCATGACCACGGGGTAACAGCGGTAGTATTCATCGAACCGACCCATCGAGCGGCCAAATGGGGGTGGTCCGCGTAGGAAGGCTGGGTAGTCCATCGGATCGTGGTAGAAAGACTGAGCATGTCGGTGAGTGAAAGTTGACGGTCCATAGTGAAAGGCTTACCATTTGGACCGTAGTGGCTTTTGCTAAATGTGAAAAGAAGCACTGAAAGATACAGGCTGGTTTTGGGATCAGGAAATTCACAAGGCGACCAAGGATTTTGTCGCGATGCGGGGTGAGGATACGTGGAGTTGTAGTCTTAGGATCGACGGACGATAGAAAAAGAACGGGTTCAAAGGGTCGGCAGTCGCTGATTCTACTACAAGGATGTTTAGTGAAAGTGACTTTGTGGAAGAAGGACAAGTGCCTTTCCCTTTGGTGAAATGCGGTCCAGGCACCATCTGCGGCGAGTTGAGGTGGTGACGCAGCTGCGCTTCTCTGGTGCCGCGGTTGGCGGACATCATTCCACCAGCTTAATTCCGCCGCACACCAGACAACCACCTTTGTACCTGGTACCTCAAATCGAGTCAATGGTTGTAATTACTCCTCTTATCACCCAGGTAGCTACGTGCAGCAATGGCCTATAACACGCCTGGCTCTAAACGGGCGGCCGAAGACTATGTCCGCACCACCTCCCACTCCAACGACGGTTTCTACGGCCAGCCTACCAAAAAACCGCGCTTCGACGTGCGCAACCCCTCGGCCCTTGCCCCCGATGCACTAGAGGACGATGCGATTTTGGAAGCGGATGTCATCGGCGCACGTGGCCAGCAGGTGAAGCGCGGCGCAGTAAACATCGACGGCTACGACTCGGACTCAGACAATGACAATTTTGACGCTCGCGCCGATAGAAAAGCTAAAGCGAACGCAAAGGCGGAGAAGGACAAGTCCAAGGAGGAAGATGAAAATGATATGTTTGCCGATTTGGAGGAGGACTTCAAAGATGGGGACGATTCAGAAGGCGACATCGGACGAAGAGGCGGCAAGAAAAAAGCTGTTCGGTTCATTGACGAGGACGAGATAGAAGGCCAAATTCAAAGTTCAAAAAGTGGTGGCCACGTCTCTGCTGATTTCTCGCTCAACGGGCGGGGAAAGGGTAAAGCCAAAGAAGAGGACGATGAAGTTGAGAGCAGCAGTGAGAGCGAAGTGGACGATGAAACTCGAGCAAGCACCGGCGAGCTTGATCCCGAACTTGGAGCTGGGAGCAAGAAGTCACATGCGCCCAAGTTGGATGCTTTCAATATGCGTGCAGAGCAGGAGGAGGGCCGCTTCGACGATCAGGGAAACTATGTTCGCAAAGCTGCTGATCCCGATGCCATTCACGATATTTGGCTCGAAGGCATGTCGAAGAAGGAGATGAAGCGAGCAAGGGAGGCTGCCGACAAACGAGAAGAAGAGCGGAGAAAACGTGACTTGGAGGAGGATGCAAAGTCAACAGGCGACGTTCTGGCCGAGCTCATTCCGCTGCTGGAACGTGGCGAAACCGTCCTCGAAGCCCTCGCTCGCCTCGGAAAGGGCAAAGACAAGAAACCAAAATGGCATTCCAAGAACAAGCACAAGAAACAGAATGGCGAGTCAGACGGGAATCCTGCAGCAGAAGACCAGGCTGCAGAGCAGGCTCGAAAGGCAAAGGTCGAAAAGATCAGTGGCGCAGCGGCCATCTTATTAGGCAGGGGCCAAGCAGAAGTTTACGACACAGAAAGAGAATTGCTCATTCGACAATATCGACGAGAAACTGGTAATGAGTGGAGCGATCCCCCGCAGCCCAACGATACAGATACTCATGCTGATGCTGAAGACTCCACGCCGCAGCTGTGGGAGTATAGGTGGACTGATGCTAGGGATGGTGGGGCAATAAACGGGCCCTTCGATGGCCATACCATGAAACAATGGAGTGATGCTGGCTACTTCGGCGAAGGCGTCGAATTCCGTAGGCGAGACGGTGATGACGACTGGACCAGAGTGGCCGACTTTGCCTGATGAGGATGATGTTGATGTTGTGCGATATTCCCAATAATTGACTTCCTAAGCATGGAATATTCCCTTGTCCGTTGGGCCTTCTTCGCCTTCGACAGCAGCCGCTTGCGTATGCTGGAATGTCATGACTCGCCAGTTGAGCTCTCGACGCCAGAACAACCCATATGCCAGTCGATTACCACCAGGCTCAGAGCAGAGGCCACCACTGCCCGGCATCTTACGAGCGAAAACACAGACTCGGAATCTGGAATGGATCATAGCCATCGCGCAGCACACGCACGGTTCATGTGTCAGATAAATGTCGAGTCCACTGCAGAGATATCCTTCAGACCGCGGATTCGGTCGTTTCTCTGGCACGGCATCGTTCACATTTGTTTCGAGGACAACATTGCCGAGCCCAGAAGTAATGTCACGGAGTATTTCTTGATCTTCTCCATACTGACTCTCGACTGGTGTGAGAGCTTGGCCAGACGGTGTTTCCGAGCACGTGTCCTTGAACTTGAGGTGTCCTCCCGCTCTGATGCGTCGACGGAGTTCCTTGTTGGCAACCATGGCGACAGCACGCATGACGGCGTGATATTCGGGTCTCCCTTCTCCGTTGTTTGCCATCAGCGACTGATGGGTTTCTGGATCATCAGACCACCAACGAGCGTCGCCAGCCACCGCGACGACTGTGGCAGTTTCTGGTTCCACCACAACAGCACCGACGCCTCTTCCGTGACCGTGTTCCCTGGAAGCATGGGCAGCCTGTCTTGCGAGCTCCATGTATGTATCCGTGGCCGGGACTTCCAGTAGAGTCCGCATCCGTCGAAGTTGGTGGAGAGGTGGAGCGTCTTGAAGGACCTGTGCAGCCGGGTTGTAGATTGATGGCCAATAGCGCTCCGTCCAGAGCGCAGCCTGTTCTGCACTCAGAGGTGCGTGTCGTGGGACAACGGCATCAAAGCAACGAGGGAGACCTTCAACATCGATATGCGGCACCAGCGTGGCCTTGATATCCTCCCATGACACGACCGTGTTTGGCACCAACAAGAAGACGGTTTGAAGACCTCGTGCGTCATAATCACGCCGCCACGTCAAGTCCAAAGGTAGGTGAGAGAGAGAGCATACACGGCGGAAGTGACTGAATGAAGGGTGTTTGCCGCCGTTGGGGATGACGGGCTTGACGATGCTGGTCACTGTGGTCAGCTCCAGGTTACTCATGAGAGTCTCTTGAGTCAGCTACCTTAGTGCTTTGCTCGTCAACTTGGCCGGGATCTCGATGACAAAGGCCTGGACTGGAATGCCACAGTTAGTTCAGAGAGATCTGGCGAGAAGAGTAGAAAAGGGTGCTGTGCCATACCGAACACTTCCTCAGAGCGGTTTTCGTGAACCGTCTTCAACGGCTCGAGGAATGAGATTTTTTCAACCATGTCTGGAGGTTGCCGAGGTTTGGATGCATCGTAGAGTAGAGAAGAAGAACTACAAAAGGTGGTGACGGAGAAGGGATTTTGAAGAGGGTCGGTGGGAGGCAGCTGCCTCTTTGCAGTGGATAATTTTTATGGGAGGCAGTTGCACAGTCGCTCTGTCGCACCTGCAATAGAACCAAGGTGATCCCACTCAGAAGAGTAAGAGAGAGTTGAATGGAAGCAACGACAAGGCGTTGTTCCGGTGCAAACGAAGAAGAGGCCGCAAACGCTCCACTGGTAGAGGAGGCGATGAAGGCAGTCGAGTGTCAACGCTCACCACTATCACCCGTGTTGGGGGAAGAAGAGAAGAAAATCTATATACAGTAGAAGGAAAGGACAAAGGTAAGTGAATCGGATGTAACTATTGTTGCTTGTCTAAGGCCGTGGTTTGATTGTCCTTTTTTCCCCTTCCTTCGAGTCATTCAATTATTTTGATGCAAGTGAAAGGAAAGTGAATTTCGAGGCTTGGCGGATAAATGTTGTTCCGCAGAGAGTCTTGAAACTCTTCTTCATTTGGCAGACAATATGATCATCCATCCAACATTCTATACATGTCCTGATATAACTCCACCTCGGTCCCATGATCACTGGCAATTCCCTGTCATGATCACAGGTAACATAGGTACATAGAAGAGAAGGCTGTGCGATTCCACTATCGCAAAATCTTATGTGTCCAGAGGTCGTCACTGTTCATGATCCCCTCGTTGTTTGTGACAGTCTCTCAGCCTCTGGTCAGAAACTTGATCTTCACCTCTTCCCACAGAGTAATAAGACTTTGGAACCGGTCCTGCTCTAGCATCCATGGTATGTGACGAGGGGCCGGATCCGTGTCTGCATAGTCGAGACTGAGAACTCGATCCGACATGGCGTCGACTGCATCAACACACATCTCTCGCACTGCATAGCAGTGTGCCCGTCTCTGTATGGCTTCTCCTGCGTGGGTATTCCAACGAGGAATCCGAAGGGTTGAGATTTGCATCCACGTTGTCTCGTGAATCCACGCTGTAGACGTCGACAATGTGTTCAGAAGACCAGCTTTACCAAAGCTCGTTAGAAGCGTGGTTCCCAGGGAATCGTACATCTAATTTGAGGCGATGAGGCAGGCGATCAGACGACGGCGTATCCGGAGCTCCAAACACAGCGGGCCTCCAATTTTCCATCTCGTCCTTTAGATTGAGTCTGGCTCGGGCAGGCCGTGTGGCTAGGTCTGGCTGCATGAGCCGCCTCTTTTCGTCATTTTTCCCAGATATAGTCATCATCACCATATTCTGCATCATAGCGTGACCCCGATGTGTAGTATTCTTGATCAAGTCTCCAGCTTCAGCGTCAAAACAAGTAGACTCACGTAAGCCGCCACGCTCAGGGCGGTCAGGGCGATGACGACATTCCCACTCGTCCGGAACCTCTTCCTGCCTAGGCCGTCGTCTCCGACCTCGTTGAAGAACTGTCGATTCCCTTGCTGTCTGCGATAGGCACTAACCAAGAGCAGACCGACGGCGTAGGCGGCGAAGAGGGCGCCAATCGAGTAGAACTCCGAGGTGAAGATCTTGAGGACCACGAGGGCGAAGGAAAACTGCGAGAGGGACGTGCGGATGTACGCGCCCTCAAAGGTGCGCTGGGCGGCACGGATCTCGACGAGCTCGTCGTTGGTGAGGTCGACGGAGCGGGCGCGGTGCATGCGCAGCCGGAACCGGTCTTCGGGGTGACGCGAGGAGAACATGCTGGGGGGGCAAGGGGGGCCAAAGGGCGGGAGGGAGGAAGGTGTCTGTCTGTACTCGGTACTACGTTACCGACAGCATAGCAGAGAGACGGGCCCTTGAAGGGACTTTTTTGTGAGACGCAAACTTGTTCGTAGCGTGGTAGCTTCGTTGTGGTAATATGTGTATGTGTATCACGTCATTGCTTCGGGAGATTCCCCAACATCTTTCCTACTAACTACATACATGTATTAAAAATAATGCGTCTTGCCTGTTTTCTTTTCAAGCCGCTGTGGGTTTAGGGTCAAAGAACTGAGTTTTCGCTCTTTTAATCTGAGGTTTTGTTCGAACAGTTCATCTTACAATTCTTGGTCGATATACTTCTTAATAATGATGAAATCCCCGTCCCTCTGCGTGGGAAGATTAGCATATGCGTTTGATCCAGACCAGAATCGGGAAAGCACATGGGTGTGACATACCGAGTCCCACTCCCAGGGTAATCCAAGGATTCTTTTGGAGGCTGTGGAACTATGATTTTATCATCGCTTTCCCAGAGACTTGAGGCGTACGACGTTTGAGAAAGACCCGAATTTGAGCCTGTCTCGCCAAAATCAATATGGGGTTCGTCAAAGTCAGTGGCAATGGTCTCCGAGAGACGCGTGGAAACAGCATCGGGTTCATCGATGCCTTGTCCGAGCTTCGTGTTATGCCGTTCACGGTATTTCAGCACCGCTCTGCGTCGTAAAATGGCCGCCCTCCGCCGGTCAGCGACAACCCGAGAGGCCTGAGGATACTTGTGGGCGACGTACTGTCTGTCAAAGGGTTCAAAGGCTGTGGCATCGAGCTTCTTGGTGCCTGGGAGCCGATCATGTCGCGCTGGACGGCGGACGATCATGCTTACTCTAGAAGAGGCAATCAACAGTGGTGACAGGACCACCATATATCTGCTGCGCTTCGGTCTCATCGTCGTCGTCTTGGACCGTTCCTCCTTGAGAGCGCCTGAAGACGACGACCGCGTCGAAGCAAACGCCAACCTAAAGACCGCCTCCCGGGTCCTTGACCACGTCTACGCGGAGAGCGGCCGTCGCTACGGCGACGTCGTGGCCAGGCCTCCTTTAGTCCGAGAGACGAGGAAGTCCAAGTCGACGACGAGTTCCAACAGCTAGTCTTGCAGATTATCGTCTCGCCGCTTTTCCAAGATCTCGAGGATTTTGAGGGGAGATCGTTGAGATTTTGTTTTTGGGGGGGGGTTTTTTTGTGGAGATAATATCCTTCTTTAGGCGACAAGGTCGTGAGATGTTCGATAGTTCTCAAGCGTCCTAAATTTTTGTGAGGTTTTCCCCTTCAACATACCATCTTCTGTAGATTAAAGTGTGTAAGTTAGTGTCAGACGGCTGGTTCACAGTAACTTGATGTGTCAGGAAGTGCCAGCTATTACCTTGTACTTAAAAACTAATAGACCCGGCGAGCCGGATACCTAGGTACAGTACGATAGACCTTCCTGAGTCTCCGGCAGGGAGCCGAATCAGGCCCTTTTCGCCTGACTGACTGGCTACCAACTACCAACTACCAACTACCCAGCTACTCACGTAAGCTGTACCGTATTTAGGTAGGCACGTAGGTCACACCCATGAATAGCTATGTACTTGGTGTAGATAACGTACACAGTACACAGTACACAGTACGCGGTACATGCCCATTGGGGAGTACCTATGTAATCGCGCACAGGACGAATTTCCACTCGTGTGGATTGCTTGCTAATTACATGCACACACTCACTCACTCACTCCACCTGGTCGGTGCCGCCGGCGTCGAAATCGATCAGCGCGTCGCTCAGGATGCGCAAGATGTGGCAGAACTCCATGACGTTGTAGCGCGTCCCGACTTCTTCCAGGAGGTACACGTAGTCGAGGAGGACCCTCCTCGCGGAGGCGTAGCCGCCGTTTTGGGCCACGCCGGAGAAGGTGATCGGTCCGCCGTGCTGGATGAATGTTTTCGCGGGGCACGTCGTTGTGGTTGTGGTTGTCGGGTCCATACCCATACCCATGTCGAGATCGGTGTCGGTGGTGGTGGTGGTGGTGGTGGTGGGATAGCTGGTGAAGCCGACTTCGCCGACGAGGTTCCAGTCTACGGGGTCAAGAAGTTCGAATGCCTCGCGCTCCCTGTGTGCTGGCTGCTCATGGTGGTCGTCTGTCTCGTCCGGCTGGGGCATCACGAAGACATATAGCCCAAGCACGAGCGCGGCGTGCACCAGAGCGACCTCCGCTTCGTAGGATGTCCCGTCAATGAGCCGCCGTCTCGACATGCACGAGAAGGTGTGCGCTGCATGGAGACATGCCCGCCGGGCCGCAGCCGTTTGTGACCAGGTCGCAATGTCGTCGAGTGCATTTTTCGCCCTCTCGGCCCCGTCCCTGCCGGACGCGACCTCAAACACCCCAAGGTCGGCCGTCATCGACAGGTTTAAGTGGTGCCAGAAAGCCTCGCAGTTGGGGTTGATGATGCGCATGGTTTCGCCGTACGACCTCCACATCTTGATGAGGAACGGGGTAATCGCGGCGGCGTGCTCGTCGTGGGCAAACATCTCTGCTGGGATCGGTAGATTCGAATGCCCGGTAGTGAGAGGGCTGTATCGGTGTCTGGCTTCCGCACTACAAGAAGCATTCACGTTAGCAGTGGCATATTAAAGCGCGCGCGCGCACGTGTAATGAGTCGTCTCGAGAGCACCCGCTCGCTAAGGAGACTTACATTCGAATCCAGGCCGTCGAGCAAAGACCAAAGAACCCTATTTCACTAGCATCCGAGGCTGGCGGGAGAATGGCCGCATCAAGCTGCGGAATCATTAGAGGCATGATGGTCAACGAACCAGCGTCGACCATCTGCGACCATCGCCTTTCGGTGGCGGCCTGAAATAACTCGGTCTTGCAGGGGAAATAGAAATGGAGCTGCTCGGTTCGGATAATGGGGTTGTGATCGTCGAGGTGGGAGAAGAACGAGTCGGTCATTATCAGACACAGAATCAATCTCTTGATCGATTCTATGCGTGTCCAAGCCCTCCACGTGGCGAGATTGTCCAGGGATTGGAACATGGCCGCCGACAGCTGCTCGCCTTCTTGGGGGTGGAATAGCCCGTGCCGCTGAGCGGCATTGATTGTCTCGTTGTACAGCAGGCGAGAATGTTCGGGCAGAGGCTGCTTCGGGTTGATGGCAGCCAACGACAAAAGGAGGAGTGAAGCTGCCAGGGTGCTCAGGAACTCGCCCAGTTGAACGTCTCCTTGTGAGCTCACGACCAAGTCGCGGCGGCATCTCTCGATCGCGTTGCCCAGGTGAGATCGCACGAATCTCTTTGCACGGGCCGAATCCAGCATGGTCAGCCCCATCAGGCACATGGGGAACAAGAGGGTGCTGGAGGTCTTCTTCGCCGAGAATGTCGGTTCGTGGATAAATGGCATCAGGTGGTGGAAACGTCGAAAGTAGACATCGAGGCTGACGTCCAGGATCGCCGTCGAGGGAAATTTTGCGGGCGTGCCACTGTCTTGACTGCACGAGTCACTCGCACCGCTTCTGATACTCGCTGCAACGCCTCTGTCGGCTACAGGCGAGAACGGCGTGTTCGCAGGCGTGCAGTCTTCGATCAACCTCGCCCTCCGTTCTTCGTCCAAGCCCCATCTTGATTCCGCAAACTCCCCCGGAGCAGCCTGCGATGGTCGAGTCCCTTCATGCCCGGCCGGACTTTGCTGCGAGTAGATATTATCCTCTGGGAAAGAAGCCACATCCCGCCAGATAGTGTGGATCAGTCGCCGGGCCGTCTGTTTCTTGGTTGGCCAGAGGCTTGCGATCTTTGCGTATCTCTCATCGGAGATATTGTCCTTGGGGGGCGAATGGAGCGGTAGCTGACGAGGCCAGTACGGGGACAGACTGAGCCGTGCATCATTTGTAAAACTCATGAAATCGAAATGTGAGACGTCATCCCATATATTGGCCGCCAGAGGCAAGTCTTGAAGTCCCAGCCAGTCTTCAAAGCCTGCGAGCGGAGGTGCAGCCCTGCGCTCCACAGGGTCACCGAAGTCGACCAAGGGTTTGACTCGCTGTGAGGCATGGAGATTTGATGGATCTTGAGGGTCTCCCAGTCCCTGCCTTTGGCTATCTATGCCGGCCACCAAGTTGTCATCGTTGGAACATTGCACCTGCATCGATTGGACCGGGTGACCATCCCGACGCGATTGAGAGAATGAACTGGCGCAACTTCCAGCGAGCTTGTCTCCATCTGTGTGCGAATCGGTGAGCGGTGGAGAGGCGACAATCTCTCTGTCAGAAGTCGAATGGTGGTTCCTGATATGCCGCATGAGCACATCGCTTCGTGCATATTCACGGCCGCAGTGTGAGCACTTGAACGGCTTCTCTCCTGTATGGGCTCTCTGGTGACGCTTGAGATGTTCGGCCTTGCCAAATTTCCTGTCACAATAGAGGCATTTCTTATTGCGCTGAGCTTTGGTGGCCATTGAGGCGGGGGGGAAATAGGAAAATAGTCGATCAGATCCAACGCTGAGGACGAATGACTATATCAATCGATCAGTCAATCAATCGAGATCTGAGGCACTGAGGTCCGGGTGTTTCGGTTGGGCCACAACAGCGAAGCCATGGCCCCATCGCGAATACGAATGTGGCAACCAGATGAAGAGACCAAGTTCCGGACAAATGTCCAACCAGGATGAAGCAAAAAGATGGAAGAAAATGTTTCGTCGTGGGACAAAATTGCGGAGGCTCCTCCACATCCCCAGGTAGTCGTCACTTTGGGGAATGAAGCCCAGTACGAGGTAATGCCAGGGGATTCGGGAATCGGAGGTAGATGGAATTCCCCAATGGTGGTGCTCTATACATAGACATACATATCTGGATACATGCATAACCCCATTCGGAGCGGGGAGTCTTGGAATCTGTACCTCGTACACTTATGCCTCTCTACTGCCACACCAAAAACACATTTCTACCTATTATCGGGAGTGGTGAACCACCATAATGCATCGTCATTGCCATCATGACTATTTAGTGCACAGCCTTTTCGCATCTCAACTTACAAAATGCTTCTGGACATGGAGGATCACCCTCTGACAGCTCTTCCACGTTACCCTGCTTCCAATGCTCGCTCCTTTTAGCGACCCTCCAATGATTGGTCTGTGTTGGAGCCTGATTTCTCCTGACTGTCTTCACCTGGCGCATTGTGTGGACGATGAGTCTTTCCGAGTGCTCCCTCTCTCACCATGTGGACAGCTGTGTGGTTGGTGAGGTATTGAGATGGGTCCTTGATGAATAGTGCGCAGATAATGGCAATAACCCCAAAGGGAATAGACGAGAAGAACACTCTCCGGAAGGCGAACGCATATGCCTCTCTGTATGCCATTGCCGCGGCCTGCTCAATGGCTGGAGTGATGCCTGGAACCGAGGCGAAAGCGCCTGGAATACCGACAGCGTTCTGTGCCGTGGCAGGAATCAGAGCCGCAAGTTGCTGAGGGGAGAGATTGTGAGCAGTCGCAACCTCCGCAATCTTCTTTGGAATCTCGTTCTTAACCACACCGTTGAGGATGGTGTTGAAGACTTTTGGCGTTTTGGTCAGCGTGAGAGAACTCCGATTCCTGTCCCAGATCCACGTACCTGCATTGCCCACACTCCCGCCACCGCTGCGAAAGGTGCCAATCAGTCCGGATGCGATTCCCAAGTGACGCAGTGGGACATTTAGTCCGGCGATCACATAGCAGATTAGGGTGATCATGGCAAAGGGTCCCACCCCAAAGAACTGGAACGCCATCCATCCTGCCCGATTGGACGGTACGACACCAGCATAGGCGGCCGTGAAGACGGTCTGAAAGACCAGCAATACAATCACCTGCAGCTTCAAATGGCCAAACTTGCCCATGAAAAGTGTCAAGATGCCGCCAAAGAGGAGTTGTGCAGCACCGTTGGGAAGAGCGATGATGCCGATCTGAATGGGGTCGCTCGTGAACATATAGAGCGAACCCTGAGGGAGCAGGCCTGCAAAAGAATAGAAAACGACGCCTGGAGGTATAGTATCAGCAATCGTCGGTTGACCGCGAAACCCCAAGCGGAAGCACACTCACCTGCCACGAAGACCACAACCAGAAGAACGGTAAACTCGCGCACTTGGCGAAACAAAGAATAGGGGAAGAAGGGTTGCTTTGCCAGTGTAAAGTCGTAGACGAAACAAGCCGTCAGAGTCAAGAAACCCACAATGATGGGCGCAATCACCGAGGCCGAATCCCAGGCATGTCCATCGGTCCCAGCCCAGGTCAGTCCAATCAGGAAAATCGTCAGTCCTCCCGTATACAAGAGGAAGCCGACATAGTCGACGTCCTTTACTTGCTGCCAACGCGACTTGGAGAAGTCATACTGTGGACGTGGGGGTGGCCAATAGAAGACCAAAGTCCCAGCTAAACTCAAGACGCCGTATATAATGCCCTGGATCAGTCAGAATGCGGATCTGGGCCAGTTGACATAAAATTCAAAGCTCACAATGTAGTAGCACCATCGCCATTTCGCAGCCGTGTTGGCGTTCAAAGTTGTCGCTATTAGTGTCCCCGCGAATGCCCAGGGTAGAATCATAGCACATTCGGTAAGACCTGGACGGATTGTCAGGCGTCGGGATCAAGAGGATGAAAGCTTCTCCTTACCCAGGAGGCCTCTCCATTTGTTTGGGACAAGTTCCTGGATTCCGGCGTAGCTGACAAAAATGATACCACACCCAAAGCCAATGACGGTTGATGCAGCGGCAAGCATGAGCGTCGACTTTGCGGTACATGCTATAATCTACAAAGGGTCATCAGCTTTCGATTCCACAATATAACGTGGTCGGGTCTTACCGAGCCAACAATAGCAATAACCTCGCCCGCCACGACCGTCCATCGTCGGCCGAAGACGTCGGACAATGAGCCTGCGAGGGAGAAGCTCACAGAGGACGCGATGCTCCAGCCACCCACAATCCAGGAAATATGATCAGTGTCGCCGAGGTCGGTGCCGATGGGAACCAAAATCCCTGTGACCAGAATGAAGCCACAAGAAATCGGACAGACGTACGAGAATGACAGCGACTTGCAGCAAACGTCAGCACACCCAACCACATGTTGCTCATAACGGCATAGCTACCAGGATTGCTAGTAGAGTCGGCCATGTCAAGGTCTCTGCCTTTTCTGGATTGTCCTCCAAAGCGGCTTGGTGTGGGTTGTCCAGGTCGAGCGGAATTTCGTGAACAGGGACATGACGAGCCTCTGATCTGGCTTGTTCAACAGTCTCAACTTCGGTGCCTGAGGTCTTTTCTTCAATTGAGGCAGACATTTTTGAACAGATATTTCAGAGTAAGTCCTTTTGGGGAGGGTCACCAGGTGAGAATCAGAAAAAGAAAGGATGAGCTGCAGGAAGTCTGGAGGTATAGGATGAATCGAAATGTTGATAATTCAGCAATGGTCTGTAAAACGATACCCTGTCCCACGCGAGAAGGGTTCTCCACCCGATCAGAGGACCCGACACTGCTTTACCGCACAAATGACAACTCCCTTTTCACCCGTTAGCGTAGCAGGACTAACGCCAGGTGGACCGGGTAATAGAATGATTTCAGGGAATGACAGTAAATCTGGGTGCTCAAATATCGCGTGGACCGAGAGAATGCTCGGGTTCGACCAGCCCGCTTGTAGCGTTCGAGTCAGTCGTCGATGAAGGAAAACCCCATCTGCTTCAACAGGCCCCACAACCTCACGGTCATCAGTCATTTCGAGTCCTCACACATCAACTGCCGCAAGGGAGATAGATGTATGGCCGTAGGAATTGCCGCAGCCAAGGTCTTTACCCCGAATAGTGCCGGAACATAAAATACAACAGATCAACCTGAACCCAGGGAAACTATGAACGAGCCCCACATGAGGTGGGCGCGATACCACAAGGCTGTCTGTGAACAACAGCTTTGTCCGGGGTACCCCACATAGTAGTAGAAAACACCTGGGGTTAGCGATGGCTTGGGAGGGGAAGGGGCGCGAATGACAAATGCGGATATAGTCCATGGGCGGTTTGCATTTCGATGTCTTCCAGCAACGCCACGTCGATGCTTTGAGAAGACGGCAATCACTTATTGTATCTGCTTGGCTTTGGAATATGATGATGATGATGATGATGATGATGGAAAAGTGCCGGATCGGTTTGCTGTCAGGCATACCTCTCAAAGAGCTTCTGGGACTGTGAATTAGTCCAGATAACGCATAGGCAGAGAACCTGGGGTCATCCTCCGCTGCTGCACACTTACTAAATCGTGGCATCAAGACCTCGCTCGCCATCCTGCAACAAGATTTTCGAACACTTTTCAGCATCTTCTGGTAGAGATTCTAAGGCTCGAAATTCCTTTTCCCGATTCTGCGCCGCCTGTTGGTGGTCGTTTGCAGTGGTCTCTGTAACCGAGATCCCTCCGACGACAAAGTGCAAAGACAGGATTCAAAACTCTGTGGCTCGAAGAGCAATTTTCGATTGGACTGGTTGTTGGTAGGTGCCGCCAAAATTTTCAAGCCGTGTCCATTGCATCACCAATTGTCCCGTTACTACCGTTGCTGCTGTTGACGGCAAATGTAACAAGGCCTGCGTCGCTGATGAAGTGTTTCTCGAAATCATTGACAAGTTTGATTGATCTCACCGGGTCGTAGAACAATTTGTAACTTCTTTGAACATCCTCAATGCCGACTTCCTTCGCCTTTCGCTTCTGACTCAGCAATGTGGACGTAGTGATGATATTACTCGCATATCGCAATCCAGCTTCCTGGCCGATCTTGGTGAGCAGAGCAAGCGCATCTGCCGAGAGGTCAACTTCCTCTTCCTGGGCGCGAATCGCGAGGATCTGCGAGATTTCGTCGGCTGCGTATGGCTGGGTGCTAATTATGACGAGGCGGTCCAGGAAATCCAACGGGAGGCCATGCGGCGAGCTGTAGGTCGTCCCTCGGATTCGAGTGTTCCCTCGGTTGCTCGCCATGATGACGATTGGAGCCAGGTCTGCTTCCAAGGCACGATTGATGTATGAATAACACTCGATGTCAAGCATGTGCACTTCGTCAATGAACAACACACCGGGAATGATCTCGGCTTTCCCTTCTTCCTTCCATTCTCCAACCTTGGTGTTGATCTGATCACGTACCTCACTCCGTATCTCACCCGTGTCGCCAGAAAAGAGGGCCAGGAACCCCTGCGTTCTCGAGTTGATGACATCGATCTCATGCAAGCTGACGGTGTGAACAACCTCCTTCCGTACTTGGAGTTCGCCCTCTGGACACTGCACGAACTTGGTGTCTGCGCCCATTGCGTCGTAGTCGCGTGAGCGCGTGTATGACCTCCCTAGTTTCGTGATCTTCCCCGAGGATTTATCAATTGAGATGACATCACCAGCCATGACTCTCTCCTTGGTCATTGAATCAATCATTTTGGTGCCCATGTCATAGACTGTTTCCATATCAGTTGTTTTGATGGTGAGTTTGCCTTGTTTGTTGCCCTAACCCGATCTTGTCAATTGAGGTCCAAACACATCGGAGAACCATGGCTCACCCCCGAGACGCTCCTATCTATTTGGATTTCGACCACCTCGCCTTCGATGATCTCACTTTCCTCCTTGATCCTCACACCGATGGACTTGCGGAATGCTTGGGTCAAAGCCTCTGTTTTGGACATTTCAAGGGAGAAGATTTCGGTAGATGCGAGCATTGTGAAGGGGACATCGGGTCCTAAGGATTGTGCCATGGCCATTGCGATGGCAGTTTTGCCTGTGCTAGGAGGACCAGCGACCAAAACTGCTCTTCCAGCAATCTTGCCCTCTTTCACCATTTGGAGGATGACGGCAGCCGCTTTCCGTGCTTTTTCTTGCCCGATTAACCCTTGGGAAGAGGCTCTAGGCTCCAAGGTCGCAAGATCCACACCAAGGCCTCGGATATGGGAATGGGCAGCAATGAGATTGAGGCCGCGAACCTCTCGGCTCTCGGACACGGTTGTTATGGGCTGGCGCGAGTCAGTGGAGCAACAACCAAAGAGACAGACATGAACTCACTGCCGCCATTTTCCAACAATAGTAAAATCTGAGGCGAAGACGAAGGGATCACTTTGAGGAGAGGTAGATGAATAGGCACCAAGCATCGATATTTCCAGTCCAGTCCGAGGCTTTCTGCGGATAGTGAATAAATTCACGGGAACCGACTTTCTCTGAGGAAAGTTGGCGCAGTCGGATGACCTTCCGTTTTCTGCGGAACCCTCGTCACGCAGAAATCCTGGACTGCGACCCAACGACAATCTACTTAGGTACGAGGTACATGAGCCTTTGTATGTACGTTGATGCAGCAAGGGTACCGACATACCCGGTGCTTTACATTGGGCGAACCTAAAGGAAACAATCTTGACGGGAAGGCACATTGTCTTTGTCAATTGCCACAGATGTCATATCCCAAAGTTCCCGTATATTCGACTTCCAGTGTATCCTGAGGCTGCCTGCGCTCGCTGTCTAGTACATTCGCCTCGCATTTATCCCTCCCTTCAATACATGAAAATATATTGCGCTTTCCTGAACCATCGCGGCTGCATTTCTAGGCATCTGGCACTTCGGCCACTCACTGAGAATCATATTTGCTACCGAGTGGCTTGGGAGTCAATACACCAGCACTATGCAAAAATCACCTTCCAAACCCCCGGGCTCGTCTCCAGCAACTAGTTCTCCTTCACTGCTGCGAGACCCGCGACTCAGAGGGAAACACAAACCGGCGCATTCGGCTGAGGATGTTGGCGCTGTCAGGGACAGGGCTTCGGCCAGCAAGACGACACCTACAGCCTCGACAAGTACCCGGACGAGCCCGGTCAGTACGCTGGGCAATCCTCCTACCATGCCGTCCGAACAATCTGAAGTCGAAAGTGCCTTCTTCTCCCATGTCACAGCCGCCATTGAAACCGATTTCTGGAGGCGCAGAAGCGAGTACCTTTGCTCTCAAGGCAAGGTTGCTCGACGAGAGCTCGAAAGGGAACAAGGAATGGAGAATCCGTTCCCCGACCTTATTAAAGAGGCTGAAAAGAAGACGCGTCGGTTTCAGTATGAACATAGCATTGCCAAAAAGCAGGAAACCAGTTGCCAGGAGAAGACACAGAAATCCGGAGGCAGCTTCATACGACTCTTGCTAGAGATCGTCAATGCTAAGGATGACCAAATCAAGACATTAACTGATCAAGTTGGGGCTATTCAACAAGAACTGGAAGGTCTCCGCTCGCAACAAATGGAGCAGGACGAGCGGTCGAAAGCCAGTATGCAAAGGCTAGAAGAATTCCAACCCCAGCAATTGTCGGTAGACCAGTGTCTGAAGAAATTCGACGATAAACTGAACAAAATAGACTCCAAAGTGGAAAGGCATGATGCGAAACACACGGAAGCAGATCGAAGCATCCGAAACCTCGAAAAGACGCAGTCTCAACACCGTGCCGACCTTGATGGTATCAAAGCATACTCAGAGACACTGGGGACCAACCAGGATACCCTGCGGGAGTCAATGAATGGTCTACAACAGAGTTCAACATCCATGGATGAGCGCATCCAAGAACTGGCAACTATACCTGCAGCGTTAGCAAGGGTGAACGAAGAAGAGATCCAGAAGGTCCAAACACAGTTGAAGGTAACACAGAAGCAGGTCTTAGACCAGACTGAACGAACTCGGCAGAGTCTCAATGTCAAACTCGAGGCCATGCAAGAAGAGTGGAAAACGAAATATGGCAAGTTCCATCCACAGTCCGAGTCGCTCTCTTCTACGATCGAGCAAGTTCTCGCGACGAAATATGATGGTCTAGGGTCAGACCTGGAGTCGCTCTCTCGTCGGATTTCAACGCTCGAGGAAGCTGTCAAAACATCTGATGCTGCCACCGCGGCCAACCACGCACAAATCGAGACCGTTCAAAAGGAGATCGCTTCTTTGGCGAAAGAAGTTTTTGGAGAACTATCAACGCTTAAAGCAACCACAGCTGGACTGGATACCACAAGAATGGCCGAAGACGTGAAAATCCTACGGATGCAACTGGCCAAACAGGCGAACAAGCAACAAGACCTGGCAGAATCCTTCGGTCAAGAGATACAATCACTGAACGATCGGTTGCCCAAGGCCGACATGAGTGACCATGACCTAGCTAACATGGCGGCACGAGGCTGGGATGGGTATGAAACCCTTAAAGCAGAATTGGCAGGTCTACGTGAATGGTGTGAGCTAAGGTTTCAAGATGCTGCCGATCAATTTGCCAAGCACGACGAGCGGAATAATCAGTTCCAGGCAGACCTGGACAAGCTCGCGTATTTCCATGGCCGCTTGACAAAACGCCATGAAAGTCTCTCGCAACATTTGACATTTATTAAGGAGGGTCCTGCCGGCAAACCTGTTTTTGAATACAACAAGAAGCAGCTCGACGCCTTGATTGAGCAAGCGATGGAAATTCCCGTCAAACGAGACGTTGACAATTTGTATTCTATGTATGGGAATCTGGCGAAACAAGTTCAAAATGTGACCACCTCGATTGGTCGAGTCGAAACAGACCTGGCGACTTGCCAAGACTTGGTCAACAGGAATGCTTATGCTTCGCAGCGGGTTGAGGATGAGACTACGAGTCGTCCTACGGTGCTCCAAATCTCAAGCAGTGACGATGACCACCGGGAGGAAGAAATCCCGGAAACGACGAAGGAAACAACAAAATCACCGCCCAGCTCTGCGTTGAAGAAGCAACCACCCGGTGGTGAAACTCGTCCGCCTACAAGCAGCTTAAAACGCAAGCGCTCACAGAGAGAAGAATTGTCTACAAACCCCCCGGATGATATCGATGACGAGCCTCTTGCGCCCCGCAGGCGAAAAGCTCGACGTTAGGTGGCTCGTAGACTTGGCTTTGGACACGCCGTTCTTTTGTTTCATTTTTAGCAGAGACCACGAATCAACTTTGAAGGACCTTTTCGCGAAGCGGAAAATCTCCAGGCGTGATACGGGGTCACACCATGTCGCCACAGTTTGTTAAAGATTGCCCTAGTGCCATGACCGTTGGTTTTGAAAAGTTGTTGGAGATGCACGCTTGGTAATGATGATTGATGAATACAATGAGGATAAACCCCCGAAAATAACAGGGTCTAATACTTCATGAGAAGATGGAGATCGTTTTTACTCCCCAATGCAGTAGGCAATGACTCTCATGGTTGATGTTTGATGAAAACATCAGTTGGGCAACCTTGTCAGGGCATGAGGAGAAGCTCTGGTGGCGCTCAAGTTTGGAGAGAGGCTAGTAAACTGTGGTCCAGGTACGTTGATCAGCGGTGATTGGTTGAAACACTCGTGCCTCAGCCTTGTTAATGCCTAGAACATCTTAGCTCAGACCTTTGCTTGAGTTCCGCCATTAGAGTCTTGGCATCTATCCATTGCGCTGAGCCCCGTCGTTCCCTGTCCCGCCCGTCCCGCTTTGTGAGGCCATGTTCAGTTGATCGAAAGAACCATGATATCCACCCAGTCAGAATAGAATGATCGCGTTCCCCTCCAATTTTCGGATTGATGAGGACGAAACAGGATAAAAATTGGTGATGAGTCGCAATGTCGCCGACCACTACTTGTATCAATGTTCAATCCCACCTCAAGGGCTCCTCGGCTCCGACAGGCCGGAAATCATCGGACTTGCACGGTCGAACCATTGGACCTTTTAGTCATCTTTCGCTATCAAGGAGGGATTCCTCTGTCGAATCAATCCATGGAATCGTGGGCCAGAAGGACCATCTCTCCTCTCGTCTCGAGTGGTGCTTGATCCACCTTTGACGCATATCGGCGACTGTGACGGCTCGCCTTTGGAGGCCCCGGTCGCCCATTTCTCAAATGTGACATCTAGATTAGCTCTCTAGAGCGATCACCTAGCGCCTCCTCGCTCTCCACGGCCTTTGGACTGGTTTCCCAAAGAGGAGTACTTTTCCCTTGACCTATCAGACCATTACACCATGTCCCCCGCTCGGTGCTTGTCGTGCTTGAACTCATACTAGTGTTGCGTGCCATCAACGGCACTGCGCGAGAGATCTTCTTGTCCCCGTCGAGGTTGCTGTCGTAGAATCCCTCCACAAATATGAAAAGGTCCTGCTGAGCCGTTTTCGGCGTGTCTTGAGGCTCCAGTCTTGTGTAGCCACGACTCAGCGCCCTTGCTTCGCCTGTCAAGCTCTTTTCCTGCGAACCTATCGTCCACGCCTAGTTGGCACGACTCGAAGGATCTATTTCTACTGGCACCAGATATGGCTGTCCCTGTGTCCTCGAGTGGCCCGTCCACAACACCGTCCCTGGCCCGAGTTGACGCCCGGGACCCCGAGACCACAGCGGACGTGGTCCAGGAGTTTCTCGAACGGGACGGTGCCGTCATTGTGACGAACCTGATCACCGCCGAACAGGCGGCGCAGATCCGCCGCGATCTCAAACCGCATTTTGACGCCGACGGGGGCGACAAGAGCGGCTTCTTCCCCAACACGACGCGGCGGGCCATCGGGCTCTTGGGCAAATCGGCCACGTGCGTCGACCTGGCCCTCAACCCCCTCTTCAACGAGGTGGCGTCCCGGCTCCTGACGTCCAAGTTCGAGTACTGGATCGGCCAGGAGAGGCAGGTGGCCGTGTCCAAGCCGCAGATCTCCAGCACCGTCGGGTTCCAGGTGAACCCGGGCAGCAGGCAGCAGGGCCTGCATCGGGACGACATCGACTACCACGTCCGGTCGGGCCACGACTCTGTGCTGATTGGCTGCGTGGTCGCGACGGTCAAGACGACTCGAGAGAACGGCGCCACCGTCCTCATCCCGGGCTCTCACCGATGGAAGGACGATCGCTGTCCGTACGACCACGAGGCGGTGCCGGCCGAGCTGGAGCCGGGCGACGCCACCATCTTTCTGGGGAGCACATACGTGAGTATTTTGGCAGGCCTGTTCTCTCTGTCTCTCTTACTGCGGCGGCACTGACATAAGTCTCCTTTTGCGATCTAGCACGCGGGTGGTGCTAACCAGACAACGTGAGTTTTTTGTCGTTGTTTTTTTTGCCACTTTATTCTCGAGGCCTTACACGGAGGGTAGGAAGCCCACTATGGCGAACGAGAACTGACTCGCGTATCTTGAAAACAGGGACCAAGTCCGGGAGACAGTCGGCATCTTTCTCACAAAAGGTTTGGTTGCCCCCCAATAGTTTTACTTCACTCAACTCTCTCACCCTACATTTTTTCTTTACTCCCCCCCAACCCCCCCTTCCCTCTCTTCTCTCAATCTCTCGATCTCGTAAATCTCACCACAAATCTAATCCAGGAATGTACCGCCAAGTCGAGAACCAATACCTGACGGTCCCACCGTCGGTGGCGTCGTCGCTGCCCACAAAGGCACAGCGCCTGCTCGGGTACGGGGTGAGTCCGCCGTTCTGCGGCTTCGCCACGGATTACAAGGACCCCATGCAGGAGTTGTTTGGCGTCGTGGATGCCGAGACGGTCGTGTTGTGAGGAGACACCCGAGCCAGGACCCCCGCGAGGGAGGGATGAGGGAGAGACAGAGGCGGGAAGAGAGAGGCTCGGCGGATCAGACAAACTTGCGGATAAATCAGGAAGCACAAGCAGCCTCGTCCTTCATGGGTCGGAGAAAGAGACAAAATGGAGCGAGACCACGTTTGGTAGTCTGTCTAGGTGTTCACTTTGGTATAAAGCCTCGTCGTTTTCGTCTCAATATCCCTCCTTCACATCCTACAACATCAGAACTACCCTGTCGAAACATCCCTCACATACTTGGAAAAGGACCAAATCAGACTTTCTTACAAAGGTGTTCCTTCACGCCGCCTGTGGTCCCCTCGGCCAGCAACCTCTGAGGGGCATCTTTGCAGACTTGACCTGCCTGTGCCAGATTCCTTTCCCGGTCCTCTGGGGCGATGGCTTGGGGAATCGGCTCCAGCGATTCGCTCTCGTCTTTGGATCCCTACGTCGCTGCTCTTGGTCATATTTCAGAATATACCGAAGAGGCGTCTCCTCGCGAGGCAATGGGTTGCCCACCTGGTCCCGCAGAGTGTGAGTAAGAGGCGTCGGTCGACGGAATGGTAGGCGTACTGCAGGAACACCATTCTCATCGCACCCCATGATATATTCCAACTTAGGGAATATGGGCATCTCGCACTCACGTGGCAGGATGCTCTTCGGAGTACTTGAGATAGCTCTTTTCACCAATTCGCAAGACGTTTGATTTCTGCTCTTTTTCCTTTGATCCCGTGTACTTGAGCTCCCATGGTCGTTGAACGCTGCAGTATGAGATCGTTTGTCTCCGCGTTTGTCTCCGCGTTTGTCTCCGCGCGAACTTCTGCAACTTCGGACAGATCCCTGAGAGCTATTACGGAGCTCTTCGACGACCATGTCAATGTTCTTCCGGCCCGCTTCGACTTTCGCATGTAGGGAATAAATATCGCAACCAGTGAATCTTGTTTCGGTAGTGTGTTGCTGTGGTCTTTGTCGCTGTGTCTTCTTCTGCAGTTTCGACCTCTTCGCGCTTGTTTTCTTGTTTGAATGCGCGATTCGGAGATTCGAAGATGCATCTTTGAAGCATTTAGTATTTTCTTGGTGAATAGGCAAGGGACCATAAGATAAATTCCGTCTCCACGGTGATGGAACTTTTCTGACCGTACCAGAAATGACATTGGTCGCAGCGGGAGATTCTGACGAAGACTTATGTCGGGCAGAGTACTTCATGGCTGTGCTGTTCATACCGCTTTCTGTTGAAGCAGAAGGGTCTCTGAACTGCCAGGGAGGATGTGGTTTGTATTGTGCATCGGGCATGCAAGCACCTGGTGTACATTTCCCATGGCTAGTCCCACCATTTGACAACACATCTATTGTGCCTTCTCGTATTTCGGTACGGACTCTGCTTTGGGTGTTGTTATTGTGGTTTGCAGCGGTGCGTTTTACTGAAGGGAATCTGGTGTTCAACCTATACGCCGCACTTGAGAGGCTTCTCTGACGACCGGGCAATCGGGTTCCATCATCACCGTCAATGTCACTGGGCGGGAGTGAATAGATCGACCTTCCGGTAAAAAAAGACCCCGAGGCAATAAGGGGTTTGACAGAGACCTTTCTCCTTTTTAATTTCCTCATCGAAGGCACTCCATTCCCATGCCGATGCTCTGCACGGTGCTCGCAGTCCGAGTCTTCAATGACAATACAGATTGGCATGCCTTTGCTTGGTCGATTTCCTGTTTCCAAATCCTTTGTAGCTGGGACAGTGTTATGTGGTTGAATCAACGCAGTACTGTCAGGCTTGGAGATTCCTGGATCTGTGTCCTCGATTGTTAGATATATCACCCCAGTCTGAGAGAGCGGTGTCCGGGTCCCGGAAAGGTTTTGTAGGGCATCAGACTGAAAGTTCGCCACCCTTGAACCATTAATAGGACATCGAGTGATTGGCTCTACAGTGGGTATGGCGCTTCGATCCTGTTGTGTAGTGTCATCGTTCAGGGCAGTCAACGTATCAGAGGCAGTTTCAGACGAGTCAGCTCGAGAAGCCGAAAGAAGTCTGGTATCGCATGCAATCACCCTCTCGCATCCCTTGCCCAAATTTAAATCATGATTAGTTGTAGACGGAGCTGGGGTGGCATCTCCTGAAGCAGGAAGAGTCTGTCCTCTGTGCGCGTGCCTGTCTGTATCGATCTGTCCATTGAATGGGGCCGGTCGCGATTCTGAGGGGGGATGTTCATGAGTTTTCAGAAGGTGCTGTGAGTGGAAGGACCAGGGCTTCTTTGCTGGTTTAGCAATGGTTGAAGTCGTGGCTACCAGAGTCTGTCTAGGGTCGGTGGTAGAGGCAATTGTAGCTCTTTTTCTCTTATCCAGGTATTCTCCACTTGTGTAGGAATGGACTTTGCTTCGAATAGGGTCGAGAGCAAACGCCTTTCCGTTTGTGATGACATGCTCCAATGCCAACGGTCTCTCCGGGCTAGATCCAAGCGAGGACTGTGTAGGAGCCAGTCCGTCCTCGGTGCTGTCGTCTTCGAGCTCTTGTTCTCCTTCTGATTCACCTTTGTAGCCGGTCATTTGTTCATCGACCTCTGAGCTTGATTCTAGTTCTTCGTCCTGAAGACTATTTGGAACTCGGTACTGCCGTCTCAGGTTCAGCGCGCGACGCTGGAGCTTTGTTGGTTGGCGTATATTACCAGTGCGGAGGGCGACTGCGATCCTGGCCGCCGCGTCGATCTGAATGTCACTGTCAGGACTGCATCAATAAGTTTGCCGTAAAGAAAGTCATCGATCGATGAACAACAGAAAAGGCACTCACAGGAGTCAGCGCAAAGCCCAACTCGTAATGTAACAACTGTGACAAGAGCCACAAATAGTCTTGAGTATCCAAACGTCGATCCGCATTCGGGTCCGGATCACCGTCAGTAAGAGTCAAGGGGCGAACCCGATTCTGCAAATCATGAGCTGATTCGCGTGAAAACCATTGAACTTTCAGGTCTTGAGGAAGTCCGACTTGGAGGCCATATTCTGGGGACCAGCGCCATCGATCCTCCTTGTAGAGGTCACGCAAGATGGCCGACTCAGCTTCATACAGTTTCCCCATCTTACCCAAGGTGAGATCGATCAGTTGGCACTGTTGCGTCCTCTGAGATGCCAGACTTTGGAGAATATTCTCATCCATGTTCGTCCGCATCACAACTTCTCGTACCGAAGAACGGTATGGTGACAAGCGAAGCAGAATAGGGACGTCACCGGAGACGACAGAGGTGCCTTTGAGCAACGATTTGGAGGCACTTGATCAACTGGAGACAGTAGCTTTAGAGAGGCTTGAGGCTTGAGGTTTGGAAGAAAGAGGATAAAAACTGCAGGCCTAGGTTAAAAGACGAGAGCAAAGGGAAAGTTTTGTACAGCGACAACAGGTTTCAGTCACCTCTGCCAGACCCAGACTTCTGACCGCCGTGTCGAACCGTACAGGTGGTCTAACTGCGTGCAGTCTGTAATATTACCACCAGCGAGTCTCCCAAAACTGACTGTAAGTTCTTGCGAGCTCGTCACAAAAGAGGAGCTGTCACTGATTGGAGACAGATGGAGGCCATAGGGAGTATGTCTGTGCTGGTAAGGCAGACCGTGACGGGCGAGAAGTCTTGAGCCACCAAAAGTAGGAAGATAGAAAGAAGAGGTAAAAGACGGTGCAATGAATGGCTAGTGGTCTATCGGTCTGATGGAAGAGGGGGATGTTGGCACTCTGGAAGTCTGTCATGTAGTGACTGCGGGAGGTGCTTCTTATGGCTGAAACAATAATCAAAGCCCAGGTTTTCCGGATTCCAGCACGACGACCTCGAGTCTACTTCACATGAATTGGGGGCTATTGTCTACGTATGGAAGTCCTCTCGTCCAAAGTTCTAGTCTAGCGTTCTTCCGACCCCATTACGCCGTAACGTTGACATTAGATTAGCATGAGGTGACTCTCGCATAGTAGCTTTAGCAGATCGACTCATTGTCAAACGCAATAGGCTCATGTCAAGTGCTCACATTTCTGAAGAGCCTGAGAAAGGGGGCGTAGAATCTTCCTTGAATGTGTAGATCGGCTTTACCAGCGATCGGCGGTGGGTTAACACTTTTGACGCCGTGCCACTTGCTGGAGATGGTTCCTGAGAAGGGTCGCATTTTCGATGTTGCCGTTGTGACCGAGTCCTAAGGTGACTGCGATGCCAGCCACGTTGTCTGCCGGTATAGATGCCTAACCGTCTGCAGCATTGAACCGCTGAGCGAGTAGCCCTAATACTCCTCGTCCTCAGCCGCAATGTCTGTCCAAGGGCGGGTATAAAATGGGTGGACAGCACTCCCGCCAAATTACCCCTCCGTGCCCACCTGTGCCCCTCCATATTGCGGCCTGTTTCCCCGCCCCCTCCGCGTTCCCACGTCAAACTCTATCCAAGACAGTAGCGACAAGAGATTTAAAGGGAGATAGGTGATGATCCCCAGAGACATGATGATCCTGTAAGTCAAGTCGGCCCCCTCCGTGCCTTTGAGCCCAGGCTTCTCACTGCCGCCGTCCATGGCGGCTCTGATGGTCCTCAAAAAGGTGGATTTGCAAGCAAGCAAGGAAGAAAGCAGACAATGCAAAGAAGCGCTTGTTCATCTGCTGCGACGGCACCTGGAAGAACGCAATGGGCACGCTCGCACCGCCCACCAATGTGTCGAGGCTTGCGCGCGCTGTTGACCGACATGGCGTCGACTACGACGACACCACCAAGACCGCCTCAACCATTTCACAGGTCGTTCATTACGAAAGCGGCGTAGGGACGTATTCTGTCCTACCGAGACTGATGGCGTTCGACTATCTGTACTCGGGACTCTCGGGGAAAGGTTTGTAAGAGTCTTGCTGCTGCCATAGCACCCTCACCAGCCGCTCCTCCCTTCTTCAGGGTCTTTGACAGACAAGCATGGGCGAGGAATCGAGATATACCCCCAACTAACCACGCCTGAGCAGGCATAGAAAAGAGTATCCTCAATGCGTACAGCTTCCTCTGTAACAACAACAATTTTGGTGCGGGTCAAGACGAAATCATCCTCGTGGGTTTCTCGCGAGGCGCTTTCGCGGTTCGGTGTCTTGCCGCATTCATCACCCAAATCGGTCTGATCCGGCGCCGGCACCTCTTCCTGCTGGCCACAGTCTTCGAGAACTGGTGGCAAAACAGGGGAGAGATCGATGAAAAGTAGAGACAAGCCAAGGTTTCTTCAGTCTTCCCCACTGAGTATCGTGCTAGTCGGATATCGAAAACAGGGGACCCCTATGCAGTGGTTATATTGCTAAATCCATTCCATATACGTGGTACCAAGCCGATGAGCAATGGTGGAGTGTGTAGCAGAGGGTGAAATGCCTCTCCGGCCGACCCACCAACTTCTGTTTTCATCCAAGCGCTCATTATCGCACGGCCGATACCTTCCAACTGGCACGCGTAAGATGCCCCTTTCAGTACCCATGGTTTGAGACTATTTACCGAGGGCTTCAAAAGCTGTAGCATTGTCGCTTCACTGGAAAGACGACTTTGACGTGTTTCTGACCCTGGAAAACCTGGCTTGGTTGACGAGTTTCGCAATCCCTGTCTGTCGATTATTCAGTTGATCATAAGGAGAACCAACAATATGGGACTCGGTGTCCTGGAAGGTTAAGCTTGTCCTGATATGCTTGTTCTGACCTCTTTCTGACTGTCCAGAATGCAGACAAACATTTCCCATACGTCCCCGGAACGGTTTTGCTAGAGCAAGAGGCAGCCAGTTCTACTCAGCATCTCAAGCATGGCCGTGGCAGAAACGCGAACGTTGTCCTTTCTCCGCAACCGAGCACGGATCCAAACGACCCTCTAAACTGGCCGGGATGGAAGAAAGAGTTGGTTATCGTGATTCTCTGCTTCGGAGCAATGCTCAATGCTGGCACAAATGTGTGCTCACCTCTTTGCCTGTGTTTAGGAAAGCAAGTGACAAATTCTAGGCTCCTCTACTCAATGCGTCATACTACCCTATGGCTGTGGAAGTCAATGTTGACCTGACGACTCTCGTGATGGCTTCCGGGTATAACGTCCTTGCAGCAGGCTTATCTGGACCCTTTATTAGTGCGTTAAGCCGGAAGTATGGCAAGCGACCGATTTTCCTTGCGTCGACGCTATTCGACATCATCGGCACGGCCGTCGCAGAAGCGAAGATCAGTTACAACTATCTCCTTGCCGGTCGCATCATTCAAGGGTTCGCCATGAGTGCTTTCGAGTCCTTGGTAATTGCTGTTGTTGGAGACCTATACTTCGTACACCAGCGAGGCCTCAGAATCGCAGCCCTCAATTTCATACTGCAAGCTGCCGCGAACTTGGCCTCTATCATCTGTGGACAAGTATTTGCAAGCTTAGGCTGGCTGTGGCTGTTTCATCTGTTCCAAATCTTCCTCGTCATACAATTTGTCCTCATGTTCTTGTTCTGTCCAGAAACAACCTATGTTCGAGAGGCACGGTATGAAACGGACACCAATATGGATGGGAATTTTGACGACCTGGACAAGGATGGGAAGCGGATTCAGGAAAGTAAGGCACAAGCCGCGACCGAACTGGAGAGTGCAATCACTGCTCCGTCGAAAAAGACGTTCGTCCAGGAGCTCGCAATCTTCACAGGAGTATATTCAGACGAAAATATCTTAAAGTGTCTCTGCGGCCCGCTGTTAACCTTGCTGAACCCAATCACCTGTTACACAGTCACCACTGCTGCGATTCTGAATTGCTGGCTCGTGGGAGGTGCAATCGTTCTATCTGGGCTGTTGTCCGGGCCCCCTTGGTTGTACAACGCCGCTCAAGTTGGCTACGCCGGCACTGGACCTTTCATCGGAGGTCTACTCGCTTCAGTGGTCACAGCTGCTGCAGGAGATAACTTGATCAAATATATTGCCAGAAGAAATCGTGGCGTATAGTGAGTTCTCCAACGAAGCCACGAACCCTGCTCGACCGGTGCTAATCTTGACCTTCCAATAGCGAACCAGAATTCCGGCTCCTGTTCATGGTTCTTGCGGCTATCACCGCCGTGCCTGGGTTTTTCGCTTTCGGCTATACCCTCAGTATCGGGGCCAGTGTCTACCTTGTCATATTCTGTCAGGGCTTACTGATGTTCGGAGTCTTTGTGGGCATCTGGTCCTCGATGTCCTACGGTCTCGACGCCTTTCGAAATCTTGCCAGTGAGACTTTTGTCATGATCATGACTTTCAAGGTGATAAGGATGCCCCATCTGTTTTATTCCTTCACTGCTGCCACTTCCCAGCTAATGCCTTCTGTCGCAGAATCTCATGTTCTTTGGTCTCAGCCATTACGCCAATGACTGGGTTGCAAACAAGGGACCACAGGAGATGATGTACGTGTTTGGTGGGACAGCTCTCTTCCTGTGTTTGCTGGGCATACCTGTTTATATATATGGGAAAAGAATGCGAGGTTTCTGGGTCAGGCACGATCTGTTTGCAAAGTTCGGGGTGGGCACTCATCCTCAGATCTCGGGGTAGTCTCTCACTTCATGACCATGGAACGGAGAGACCGAATCACTCCTGCCAAAGACCTCTCCACAAAGTCATCCGCGGCTTATAGTCTACAACGCTGAGCAACTCAGAAAGTATCAGCACCTCGCAGCTTTGTCGTAAAGACCGTCGCTTTCGACACTTGGTGGTCAACATACACATTTTGCCTGACCGGTAGAGCCAAGTCCGGTAGGGTAGTATGGCTAGGCTAAAGTGAGATCATCGGGACTTGAATGTAGACGGCTCGGTGGTGAAACACGCAGCATCTCAGCATTCAATAGATGTAGAATCTCCAACGATATACGACAGCCGATTCTGTCTGAAAAGCCTACAGCCGGCTTCAACGGCAAAGTAATTCGAGGTTCTCTTGTGCCATCATATTGACAGTTGCCGCAATATGGTGCAGGGCGGATCTGAGCCCCCGCGCGGAAGTCATTTTCACACCGAGACAAAATTAGCATCATACGTCTGGCAGACGCCTTCCCCCTGACTGTGTGACTGTCGGGAATCCTCCGCCAATGTCCGGAAAGGTCATCTGTGACAATGTATCAATACTAAATCTACACGTACAAGTACAAGTTGCCAGGGGAGCGTGGAGAACCGAGCTTTAGGGCCGACACTTGATGCCGGAGTATGGACTTCGCTCAGTAAGGCGATGTCATGCTGCCCCGGACTGAAATGGTAATCGGTCCGAAATAGCTTGCTCCACAGCGACATCCTCGCGGTGAAGCAATCTTGCACTGCACCGAGATGGGTTGGGTGACACAAGGTATGGGCAAAATCCTGGCCAAAAAGGGCGACACTGAAGTCAAGCAATGTTTGCCAAAGGTGGCATTTCGTACGTGTGCAAGAATAGAATCTGAGCAATGATCTCTCTAGAGCTGGAGTGCTCATGTTCATGTCCATGCTGACTCTTTCGATTCCTTCTCGTTCGAGTTTTCCTCGTACTACCTCCTGCTTCGACGGCAAAGTCCTCCGACTGGTCTACCTGACTTGTTTGACAACCCATCACCCTTTCAGTGCTACTACCATCGTAAAGATACCTCCTATGAGAGGACCAGCACTAACGTAGCCAACCTGGACAGCATTGAACAGCCAAGGGGGGCCTCGAGAAAATACCAGCTAGGATGATGGCTGTGGCGACGTACCGTAAAACCGGAAATCAGAGACTGTATCCGTTATATTGAGTTCAGAAACTTGAGATCTTACCCTGTGGCAATGAGCCCAGAGCCGATGGCTGAATAGCAAGCAGCTGGGTTCAAAAGCGTAATAAAGGGACTAATGACCAGCTTGATGAGATTTTCTTTAGTATATGTGCCGGTGTAGATGACCAAAGATTGGACGAACGTCTTCTTGTCAGGGATCTCTCGACTAGGCGTGCGTTAAATATTGAGCTCTTCGACATGCTCTTATTAAGTGTTCTTGGCAGCAATCTCTTCGAGCTTTTCGTCAACTGCCGTATCTGTGTCGTAGCGACTGTCGCGGATATAGGTCGTCTCCGGGCAGAAAAAGAAGAGTAACAGAATCAAGATCACCAAAAAGATCTGGAAAAGGTGGAACAGCTAAAAGTAGCCGAGCCCGCTATATACTACGCTAGTAAGAATCGTCCCTGAGGTTACCGGCGGCATAGAGAACAAATGATATTGCCGAAACTCGCATTGCGCGCTGGTGGACGAAGTACAGATCTCCGATAGTAGATACTGTGAGGGGTTCCCAGGTTGAGAGAGAAAAGCCTTGGGTGACTCGAGCGGCCATCAGATACGTAAAGTTCTTTTTTGACTCGCCAATCGCGGTGCCGACGATTGTCATTAGGGTAGAGAACAGGAAGAGCGGCCTCTCCCCAAATTTGCGGCTTAACGCGCAGACTAGTGTAAAATGCCTCATTAGTGAGTGTACATCGGTAAAGGGGTATGGACTAATAAATTTACCAAAAGGCCCTGTGGCTCCTGCCACGAGAAGGGCGTAGCCCGAAGTTAACACAATGTCTCCCAAGGGCGCGCCAATTTCCAAAGAAATTTCATACAAGGAGGCGTTAACCTGTGAGACGCTGACTGCGCTGTTCAACATGGCTCCCAGATAGAGAATTAAGCTGATTGACTCCTTCTTCCATGGTGACCAGTTCAACGGATCGTTGGAATCTAAGCTAGGCTGAGGAGAGAGCACGATATGCGCGTTTCTTCTAGTGCCGTGTTTCAGACATTACGTGACCGCTTCGAGCTGGGCAGATTCGTCACTCAGCAAGACCGTGCCTGGAACATGCACGAGCTTGTGGTCTTTGAGTATCCCGAGACCCATGTTGATGATCCAGGCCGAGGACAAGTGCTGGCGCGTACGTCCTTCGAGAGGGTTCTTTGAGCAGAAGAGAGAGGTGACCTTAGATACACGAGAGTGGTGTGATCGAGGGTGGCCTTTGAATATAATCCCGGGGTGATATGAAGAGTGATCTGGTCCAGACCAGGTGTTGATGCTCATCTCTGGCCGAGCCAGGGTGGCCAAATTATCCTCGTATCCCGTCTCCCGTGGGGAGACTGCCAATGGCAGTCCCAACTGTGGGAATTCCCCACGTTTTTGCCATGCAGGATTTCGGGGAATGGTCCAATCAAAATGGCTCGCTTGTGGTACAGTCAGTACCTAGGCGCGATAAGCTCGCTGACCCCGGGGAAGCACCAACGCCTCCCGAGCGATTGGCGCCGGCAAAAATGCCTGGGATGGACATTGTCTTAGAAAGAAGCATCCTTACTGGTGGTGGTCCAGAGACCCACGGCCGTAGTTGCCCGAAACTTTGGGCTATTCTTCAGCTTTGCCTAGATACATTCCGAAGATGGCGGCAGTCAGTTTGTGGCCACCAGCATTGGATCCGATTTGAGAGTCAGTATTTCCCCAGACCTGTCTCGCCCCCAGTGTATCGGATATTTCGCCAGAATGAGACACGGTCGAAAGAATCTCGGCTTGCGGAGAGATTGGACCCCGAAACCCGCGCAGCACGCTGCGTATGCATGAAGGTGGATCCGGTCTCTCGACCCGGAGATACTGCTACGTGTCTGGGGAAGAGCGGCAACCCATCGTTTCTGGACATCGGCTAACACGACAAAACAATCGAGGCCGGTCGAAGATCACGAGAATTGTCCGGGACACTCACCTCTATCTGAGAGCATAGTGTCATACCGCATCGGGGTGAAGGCGAAGGTGGGGTATGTGCACTGCTTTTCGTGGCAGCTGAGGGCCTGGCAAAGCCTGTGGTTTGTGGTTATAAGACGCCCACTTGAACTACAGCCATATCCCTCACAGCGCAGCTCTAAGGAACGCATCCACGCTTGAACCACCATGGCTGGCATACCGGACGACGGAAATGGGATCGACGTGATCGTTGTAGGGGCAGGCTATGCCGGGCTCGCCTGTGCGATTGAGTTGAAGAGGAAGGGCTGCAATGTCCACCTGATAGAGAGGGAGCCCCGGTTATAAATCTTGAGTTTGAAGCAATCGATTGCGACTCTTGCAGTAACATACTCACTCTTGTGTAGGCGACATCATCACTCTGGCGGCGAATGCCACCATAGTGATGGAAAAATGGGGTGACGTCGTGCCAATAATGGCGGCTGAATCTGCCACTCCTCGAGTGGTCACCTTCAAAAGTGATAAAGGAGAAGTCCTACTCACTCAAGACTGGAGGCATAAATACAACGGCCACTACAACTTATACACTAGCCGTGCTCGCTCCCAGGGAATCGTGTACGACTATGCGGTGCAGATCGGGGTGAAATCTACGTTTAACGCCCGCATAACCGACTACTATGGGATGAAAATAAAGCTGGGATATACCTAGACGGCTAACTTATCACGGTAGACTTCGTCGTCGGAGCCGACGGAGTCTACAGCCGAGCTCGTAAGTATGTGATGGGACAAATGGGATATGGCTCAGCGTAGTGGCTTTGCCGTATACCGCGCGTACTTTCCTCTCGAACACTTTCACAAAGAACCTATTCTCCACGACCTCGCATACTCTAAGACCGACGAGCTGATCATCTAGATCGGGCTGGACCTATATGCTATTTTCATCATTAATGCTAAACTAGGCTTCGTATCTGCCTATCTAACCCATAAGGACACTTACACTGTGGAAGAATCGTAGACTTATCCAGGCACTGTCAAAGATATGCTCGAATGCGTCAAGAACTGTAATCCTATCTTAGAAGCAGCCATCAGGAACTTCCCAGAAGAGATCATTTGCGATTTTAAACTCCTATGGCGAGATCCTATTAATAGATGGATTTCGGATAAAGGGAGAGTCATCCTAGTCGGTGACGCTGCGCACCCTCATCTTCCAACGTCTGGTTCAGGAGGCGGACTGGCTGTATTCTGGAGACGCGGAGTAGTATGGGTATGAGAAATTCGATGAGGTAGTGGCGCACATCAAAGAGGGCAAGCCGTTTAGGAATACCAACGTGCCGCCAATCTACGAAGACGATATCTGGAACATTAAGACGATGATGGAAATGGACAAAAAGACCGGCACAGAGAATTTGTACAAGATTGCTTAGAAATTCTAGTAATATTGGCTCGCACCAATCCCAACTTCTCGCGCGAAGCTAATTAATTCTCTACTGTAGCTGCCTTCAATCGTGAGTGTTTCAAAGACCGTTGTCGAAAACCGGATCTCGGAGGTGCAATGGACGTGGGTCAAGGTTCTGCCCAAAAGACTCGAATTGGCAATCCACTCGAGTGCGAGCACCGTCTGGTGATGCAGTCTCCCTGCTCAGGCCGCTCAGCTACCAGAACTTTGACCGAAACCCAACGTTGCATCAGGGGACTTCATACGGACGAAATCGATGTGCAAAAGAACAAACATTAAAGAAGAAACAATTTTCTAGCATCTCCTCGAGTCGTGTCGCGTCGCTGTCCCGTGTATCTAATCGTCATCACCACGTGAGGATAATCGAGTTTCAAGATGGCGACAATTACGCACGCCCCGTTGGCCCCGTTGACCACGAAGGATACGAAAGGCACGACTGAGTTTCCCATCCGATACACCAACCCTGAGTGGCAAAATACACATCGAACACTACTCTCTGGTGGATTGACGAAGGATCTCGAGTCCATCCTACCTCCCGGTCTTGACCAGGAAGACTTTGACAAAGCCATCGGCGAATATGTCGAGGTCTTGGGCAAGGATGGTGTTTTCGTCGGTAAAGCCCTTGAGGATTTTATCGACCCTTACGAGCTGTAGGAAGCCGAAGGTAAGAGGAAGCTTCCAAGTGCCGCAGTATGGTCAGTTATCCCAAGTATGCTTGTTTGGAAATGCGCTTCTGGTTCTGACGGCGAGTCGCATGTAGTCCGCGCACGAGGGGAGAGCTGCAGGGAGTCCTCAAAGTTTCCAACAAATACGGTATCCTGATGTAGACTTTTTCAAGAGGCAAAAACCTAGGGTGAGATTTGCCTTGTGTTACAGCCGTCGATTTGTCCTGCTTACCCGTTTTACTTAGCTACGGCGGGCCAGCGCCCAAAATGAATAGCTCTGTTGCCCTGGATTTGCACAGGATGAACAAGATCATCGATGTCAGCGAGCAATACGCCTACGCCGTCGTCGAGCCGGGCGTCACTTTCTAAGATCTCTACGACTACTGCGCTAAGAATAAGCTCAAGGACTGGCTAAGTTATCCAACACTGGGCTGGGGCAGCGTGATAGGTAACACCCTCGACCGAGGTAGTGGCTGGACACCTACCAACGTCCACTGGCAAGATCGTGCTAGCCGACGGCGAAATTGTCAGAACTGGACAGTTCGCTATGGACGGGAACGAGTCAGCTCACCTATCGAAGTACAGCTTCGGACCTTCCATTGAGGGCCTATTCATATAGAGTAACCTCGGTATTATCGTCAAATTAGGCATCCAGCTACACCTACAACCGCCGGCGTACATGGCCTACGCTCTTAATTAAAAGTCCGGTGGAAAAATCAAGCTAGAAGCACAGAGGACAAGAAAGATTTCACCACATACTTCAATGCTCCAACTTTTCCCCTTTCGAAATCGCCTAATGAGGCTCTTTCGACGTATCCAGTAATCACATGTGAATCAATCCTTCATGGTCGACTTTTCCTCTACTCCGCTTGTTGTGCATCAACCCTCTGCTGCTAAGCGTGTTTGAAGCTTTGTCATACCGTCTAAACCTGATCGTAAAGCTAGAATTCAACGCCATGGCGAGCCGGTCCCTCCAAGGAGGCCCTCATCTCCTTCGCCCTCCTTGAAACAATCGGCATGATTTGTAGCGCTGGATCGGTCGGATCACGCTCCGCGATCGTCAAGTAGAGCCGCTCCAGTTTCTGGATTAAGGAGCTCAACAATGCCGGCGCATGTTGGGCCAGGTCAGAAATTTCAGGATCCTGAAGCAAGATGTTAGGACACGAAGAAAAAGTTGCTTGACGAGCACTTACAGCAAGGTCGACCGCATTGAATGCGGCAGAGATCCACTCCAGTCTTTGAGCCGTATTGGTCGTCAGACTATTTCCGATGGTGACAGCGATGGAAAAGGCGATCAGTGGGGAGACATCAGTCGATAAATACTCCGGAGTGAAGTGGATGAACAGCTTGTCAAACAGCTCTGCCGGTTGGGATGACTGGAGCCATTTGATTGAGGCCTCCTCGTACCGACCCTCATTCATCAATTGGCTGATCTCCTCCAACTCCAGCTCCTCCTTAGTTTTCTGTCGTGGAACCATAGGTCGGGGGACGGCTCGTGGCGAAGGAGTCATACGGGCCGTCGATACTTGGCGAGACACTGGAGATGAGCTGGTTTCGCCGAGAAGTGCAAGCTGTCGACGATCCCTAAGAATTTGGCCTTGAAAGGCCACTTGGGTGTCGGACATTTGCTGCAATGCCTCAGCAGTGGCCTGAATGACTTGGCCCAACTTTTCGAGCCTAGTCAGGTCATTTCGTCGGTCACTCTCTAGTTGACGGATTTCACTTCGCAGGCGGACTTCAACTTCAGATGCGGCCTTTTCAGCTGCTGAAGCGGCTAGCGTCTTAAACGTCGGCACAACATGTTTCTGCATAAGATCGTTGAGCTGAGTCTCAATCTCCTTTGAAATCTTCTGCGAGACTGTATCTGCTATCGTCCGAGTCATCTGCGGACTCTGCAGAACTCCATTGAGCACAATAGGCAGTTGCACGCCCAGTTCATGGGGGACGAGAGAATGGAGGGATTTCGCCACAGCTTCTCCCACTTGAGTACCCACGGCTTGGACTGTAGCCGCTGTAAGTGCTGGAACCATTGATTGTTGCATTTGAGCCGAAAGAATGCGGGAAAGTGATTTTTCAACGTTGGTGCTCAAAGTTGTCGACACCAACCGAAGGAGAGCTTCCTGACGGGCTATGGCAGCAGAGTCTTGGACATTCCGATCATTTTGGAGGTTATGATAGAGAGAGTCCAGCTCTTTACGAAACTCCGTTGATACGGCTTTCTCGACCTTCTTCAGTTCCTTGTCAAGCCAACCACCTGAAATTCCGACAGTAACGGCTTCAGGTTTCACGGATGTCTCGGCGGTTGAAGGAAGCGGGACAACTCCAGCCACTGGAGCAGAAGTCTGCTCATCAATGGGGGCTACATCCGCAGTTGCTGGGGTGGATATACCCGTTGAGACTGGTTTCGCACTTGAACCGGCGAGCGCGACTTTATCAGGGAGCCGTGGTTCGGTGGGTGGGGCAGACTTCTTCTTGCTCTTCTTTGTTTCCTTTGCAACAGGAGTTTCGATATTAGTCACCTCTGTGAGTGGTTCAGCGGCTTTGCTGGGAGGCTGCGTAACCGCTGGTTTGCCAAGTTCCAAATCCTCGGCCTGAACAGTCTCCACACGTTCCGCAGACGACGAGGACTTCTTTGCTTGCTTCTTCTTCGAGCTCTTACTTGTTGGACCTTCTTCGACTGGACTCTTGTCTCGGGGGCCCTCCTCGATCACTGTCCCAAGGCGCAGCTCTTTCAACGTGACGAAGCCTTCCTTCGCAGCATCAATCCCGTGAACCACCTTGTAGTTCGCATTCCAGCCTAGGTCTTCCTTGGTAATGTTGAGGCACGTAACACCTTTTGAATGCACGACGTAGAGTTCGAAAAGCGGCGTCTTTTCGTCGACAGCCCTCTGCTCCTCTGCAGTTCGATAGATTGGAAGGAGCTCAACGCTTCTGAGCTGTCCTTTGTCTGCAAAAGACATTTCGCGGATGCCACTCATGCAGGCCGTGGAATCAGGCTTTGGTAGTTCCGGGTCCTTTTCAGCAATGCGCTGCACGTATGCAGCCTGTGTCAGAGAAGTGCTGATCGTATAACGGGGCGCGGAGAGGTGGATGAAGAAGAGTGAGTTTCTGGTCGGGTGCCCGACAACAATAAACCCGCTATTTGCGTGATAACACACGCTGCAGATCGCGTCAGTCTCATTCTCGTGAGGGAAATTGATCTCCTGAACAGCTTTGCCGAGAGCGATATCCCAGAGTTGAAGAGTATGATTCTGCCTCAGGCCGACAAGGACGTAGCGGAGCGCGCCTCCTTTGACATATGGACGAGCTTTGTCTACGAATAGAACCGACGTTGGCCACGACTTCTCCGCTGGGGATGCGGTGGAAAGGGACAAGATCGGGAGGTCGATAGTCATGCTAGCTAGCCGAGTTGAGGTGGCATTTGACTCGTCAATCAGCTTGCGAATGTCCCAGAATCGTAATCGTCCGGTCTTGTCCAAAGAAACGATTAAAGTGTCATCTTCGCTGAAGATGAAGTCTTTCCCAGCCTTCCCAGTAGAGATCTGAAGGGACCTTTCCTGGAAGAATTTATCGACATCGACGCGCCGATTGTGCTCACTGATACCGTACCGTGGAGAGAGCGCCGTTGCTGGCCAGACGAGATGGATTGCCTTACCGCGTCCAATGGCGAAGAACTCTGGGTGACGAGAGCTTCTCTTTGCGCGGGTCTTGAGTACACCCCCAGATGCGTTCTCGTCAGCCGGAGGGTAAGGCGGAAAAATGAGGCTTTCAGTATCAAGTGCGTTTTTCTCGAATAGATCATTTCCGTCCTTGTTGATGGTAGCATAATACACAGTGCCACTGACCCCAGTTCCTAGGAGCGCCTGGTCATCCGATGATTCCCCAGCAGCAGAGGTTGTGCAGAGAGCAACATTGAATATTCGATCATGAGAATTCTTGAAGACTTGTCGGTCACTGCCGTCGTCTTGTCTGATGATGCGCATGCCGCCGTTCTTCACTAAGGCATAGGCAATGTACTTTGATGTCGCAGCTGCCAAAGAACGGTCCAACTGGTCGAAATCTTTCTTGAGTCTTGATATCTCCATCACGCCATCATCTCTAATGCCAACGCTCGAAGGTTTTGACAAGTGCAAAGTGATCGAAACAAAGGGCTTGATGGGAAAATTGTAGACTGGGACGATCCTGGAGGACTCCTTGTTTGGTGACTCTTCCGTGTCTTCCCAGTCATCCCCACCGTCAGCTGGCTGCTCGACGCTCTTGTCCGCGCCGGAGCCTAGTTCCTGTTTGACGCCGTTGCTGGCGTTCAGATGTATCTCCTTGCCTTCGTCTTTCAATTTGGTCTCCGCTGAGACAGGAGCGACAACCTCTTCCGTTGGAACTGCATCTTCTGTCTCAGTCTCTCGAGTTGCTCCGGTAACTGAGCCATCGCGTGATACAGTGGCGTTCTTTGATGCCAGCGGTAGTCTAGGAGTGAGTATTTTCCGCTTGGCCACTTGCTCACCTGTACCGACACGCGAATCTGACAGATCATTGCCAGACTCGACATTTGATCGAGGGACATTGACATTGGCAGGTTCGGAAGCAGTGGTGCCCTCTTTAGGAGTTTGTGTTCGAGAGGCACTCAAAGATGCCTGTAGTGCTTCAAATGGGTTCGTATAGGTGAAGAGGGGTTGACTCTGGGTTGGTGGCTTAGTGTCATTACCAAGAGCTCCAAACAAGGCGCCCTCAGCCGCGGAACTGGATCCGAATAAAGGAGCTGATGATTCTGTACTCGTAGGCTTAGCTTCTTTAGTCTTCGCATCGGACTTTGCATCTGTTGATGGAGACCGCGGTTTTTCAACGAGATTCTGGCGCGTGCTGATGGAATTGCCAAGATGGGTTTTGCTGAGGAGCTTGAGCAGCGCATCCTGCGAGGCATCACGATCAGGCGTAGAATTTTCTTGGTCGCCTCTACCGCCTCTACCGCCGCCACCGCCTTGATCCTCCAGGTTCAGCGGAGATTGGGCTTTTGAGCCGCCTTGGGCAGGCGAAGGTGACATCAACTTTGCGAGGAGATCCGAAGCTGAAGTCGACGAACCTTGCCCGGCAGCAGTACCCGCTGACTTGTCGTTCTTCTCCTCGACGACCGCCGCAGCATTGCTAGTGGAAGAGAGAGGTCGTGAGTTTGCCTTAGGAGGTGTAGAGGCCGAAGGGCCAAAATTAAGCAGGTTCAGCAACGACTGCGCCGTAGCAGAAGGCGCAGACGCAATTGGCTGAGCCATCTGGTTGTAGGAGTTGTGGTTCGCGACAGGAGCAGCAGGAGGAGGGCTCGAAGGCAACGGAGAGGCGCCTGGGAAAGGAGAAGGTTGGCCTGCAGAGTTGGATTGGTGTGGCGTATGGGATGGGGTAGGAGAGTCGCGAGGCTTCAACATCAAGTTGGCAAACAGAGCTTGCAGGTCGTTGGATGACATTATTCCAGTCAGACCAAGGACGACCAGTCCGAAGGGCCCACGATCGAGTGTAGTAGAGAAAAAGGCAATTGTTCTCTCGTCACCCGGATGCTACACCGGGAACCAGAGAAGAAGCGAGAATGAATGGCAGCACCGAAACGTGCAGGGAAAGTGAGGCAATATTTTAACACACGAATAACCTGAAGGGTGGGTGGGAAGTGTTTTGCTGATGAAAACACAAAGCCCTGAGCAATCTAAAGGAAGGTGAAAGATGAGTTGAAGTGAATCAGAGGCGCGATTCAGCGACGACTGGCTCATTCTCGTCAAAATTTCTCCGCAGTCTTGCAGCTCCAATTCGATCGATGACTGCTGCCAGCAACACGTGCCCGCTGCCACTCAAGCGCCAATTCAGCCGCAGGGGAGGGATCCTGCTGCGAACTGCATCCCTCGTCACCCCAGCGAGCCCACCACCAGGTGCCTATAGTAGCTGTTTGTGTGTACCAGCGCACCAGTTCTAGGCACCTGAACGTAGAAGCCCGCGGTGACATTCAGATTCAGTGTCAATAATTGACTGTAGCCTCCTGCATCTTCATGCAGGGTGTCACCGCTTCTGCAGGTTATAAGAAGATGGATTTGTTCAACCCCTTTGAATCCTTGGTATAGTATCTGTGACACAGGTACCCCTCGAGCCATGTGTCCATCAGTGCCATTCTCATAATACAGCCACGCTCATTCGTTCCGCTTGGCTGAGCCAACCTCGCCCAGATTCCACACCATCTCTAAAAGCATCCTTTACTTTCTTCCTCGAGTTTACACTTCCAAGAACACATCATATCCATGCCAATGTATTGTCTTCGCTCGTAAGTATTGCATCTGTCATTATGATGGTTCTGGAAACGCTCTAACTGCAGTCGTGCCACCAGATATCTTCCACTCCTCCTACTCCCACTCCCCCTCAGCCTCTCGCCCATACATCTCATCCTCCTGCTCGTGCTCACATACCTCCTCAACCGCCCGTGCATATATTGCTCCTTTCTTCTCATCATCCTCTTCGCATCGTCCTGCCACTGGTCAAATCGATGTTTCGTCGACCTACCTACCCTTCCATCTCAACATTCAGGAGGAGGAGAGTTATTCTCACATGAGACGCTTGCCGCTTGGTTCACTCCCAGGCTATATACCGCGAACTTCTCGGGCAGCATAGGGAGCATTCCGGGACAGGCGAACAATGGTACAGGGCCGTCAGAGATGGGAGGCTTCCTCACAGATGTCGCACGTACGACAGTCGCCGGTCTTGCAACTGCGGTCAAAAACTCGGCGGAGGAATTGTTTGATGACGCTCGGCAGAAATTGATAGCATCTGCAACCAGCACCGGAGCCGAAACAGCAGCTTCGGCGACATCTTTGCCGTCCCTACTGGACACAGGCATTGGAACTCACTGGCTGAGGAATTTGCTAGGGCGCTCAGAGTGGACGTTACCGTGCGTTGGAGTAAAGCTAGTTCTCTGATATTTTGTACGGTTGCGGTTGGTCTGACGGCTCCCTGGTCGCTCCATACCGCGAGGGCATTGGCTTTGACTACGGCGTGAAGTTTTTTGGTTACATATGGAGTTCGTTCTCGATTACAAAATTTGAGAGATATCTCATGTGTTGTACCGTCCAGCACAAAGATATATCCTTGCAGGACTACTACTATATTCTAGTCTAGGTCAAATGGTTGCTGTATGATGCCAGCTCACAGCCCTCAAGTCGAACGGAAGATTTGTTTCGGCCCATGAATCGCGTTGAAATCGACTGAAACCTGAAACCTCCCGGAAATTGTGATCAATACACATTTCACAGATGCCAAACGCTGCGTAACTCGTCAAGCTATCATGCCCAAGCCTTCCAATTGGGGAACATTAGAATGTTGCGACAAACGACAAGGACGCCCCTTGTTCCGGTCGGGAAGGGGGGGCATCGCACCAGGTTTGCCGTCTCAAGATATTAAAAATCATTTCTCTGCCTGCAATTGTTCAGGCCCATAAGAGAAATAAGGGTTGGCAAGCTCTGCCTAAACCCGGGTTTTTTTCTGGTGACAGCATTTCAAAACCCCCTGGCAATGGCTTTGCTATGATTATTGGATCGGCCAGTCGTCTTCAGTGATTGACGACCAGAAGACGAACACTGCCACGACGCTGAGGAGCGTGAAGAGGGTTGCGAAAAGGGTGCCATTGATGTCGCCATCGGCACCTTTGCAAATGTGTGTCGATATCACATACATGAAGATTTGGCCAATCGCAAAGAGGAGGGCTGCGGCAATCAGGTAGATCATTGGTTTCGTTTCGCCGAGGATCTTGAGGACCAATATTGACTCGAGGACGAAGAACAAGAACATGAATACCAGCGGTGCCAGTTGGTATAGCGTGTAGAGGGCGTAGTTCTGGTGCGGTGGCTGTAACGAGCTGTCCCAAAATCCTGTCCAAGAGAAGGCCGTGTCCAGGGCAATATAGCCAGTGCCAACGAACAATGCCAGGGAGCTGAGGCCGATCAACCCCATTGACAATGGCGTGCCGTCATCCACTAACTGGTAGCCCACTACTGCGTTCATGAGCAAGATCCACATGGTCGCCACGATAGCACCCAGATGGACGGCTGTGAAACCTTTCCGCACATCGTTGTTCAATGGAAAACCGCCGACTGTGAATATTTCGCAGATTTCGATGATGATATAACCGACCAGAAACATCTGCATTTCCCGACGACCAACCGCAGCAGCTTTCCTCTCTGCGCGCCATAGCAGAAACAGGGCAACAACGATGGCGATGCCACAGAGCAGTATTGAGCCCAAGTTGGCGAGATTGCGGTTGTTATTTAACGTAATTCCACGCAGGACACAGCCTCCATATGCGAGGCCAGGTGGTTGATTGTTCGTGACGAGGATCTGGAGAGGCAGTTAGAAGACCACGGAGAGCTTATCGTCTGACAGGGGAGGTCTAACATTGCATATAGGTAGTGTCGCATCACGACAGAAGTCCTGCAGCCATAGGTTAGCGACTGGAAAAGCAATGAACTCGAGCTTCTGAGAGCAACCTACTTGGAACTTTCCATACTGTGTTCCACCCATTTCCGCAACGAGGTCAAGAAACCGTGGGAACGAAGACGGTGGAGGAGGTGGCGAGAGGAAAGTGCGAGACAGTGACTTGAAACACCATGCGCTGTAGAGTCAGGAGATCACTGACGACGAGGTGTGCCTGTTTCGGACGATTCGAGAAAGTTGCGCTGGCAGGGCAATCGAAGGGTGCGAGGTGTTTCGTCGATCAGTTCTCGGTACTCGCAGTTGGACGACTTAACGAGCAGAGTCAATGGGATTATTTTTGGAGAAGGATGTCTTTGAGAGACGGAAAAAGAGTGGAAGGAAGGGCCGTTGGTTCGCCAGGTGCAGGATTGGCTGGGTTTTTGCTGCAGGGTGTGTCCGAGGTGTGCAGGCGTAGTGCAGGAAATCAGGAAAGTTGGCAGGGTGACTTGCTTTGATCGGAGTCGGCAAATGATGACGGGGGATTGACTCCTCTTTTGGGGCTGGAAGGGGAGGATGGGACCGGGGGGGCAGGAAGAGGCACTCAGACGAGGTAGAGTACTCGGTATACGACTAGTAGTTCCTTGCAGATCTACGACTTGGCAATAAGAGAAGGTTGAAATGATGCAATGAGGCAGTGAGGCAATGACGGCGTCGACGACTATGAGGCACTTTATCTTGTTCTCTGTACCAGGTACGCAGCGAGAGGGAAAGGGATGGTGTTCTACGAGGAGAACAGGAGATGATTTGGGTTGCGAAGCTTGTCTGAGACTCTCAATGAAGGTAGCAAACAGGTTGCAGCCCCAAGCAACGCCAACAGTAAAGAGCTAGGTACTTAGGCAAGTTGCTGGCCCCGGGTGCCGAGTAGTGAGATTGGCTGACGAGCTGGGAAAGGGCGAGGTGGTGGAGCTGCGGAAACTACGTAGCCAGGGCAAGGGCCAGTGCCAGTGCCAGTCGCCCATGATTGCCCGCTGCCCAGCCCAGCCATGGAAGCCCCGAAACCCCCAGCCGTTTATGCCCGGGAGATTTGAGTAGCTACTGTAACAGCAGACCTTCCCAGGCATTCAGGTACGAGTACGAGGTAGGACTTATTTATCGATAACAGCCTGAATGAGAGATTGCCGAGTGGTTGATACTAACTCCAACATGTACATGAAAAGCACTCCGAAGGTAACTCGTTGCTAGTAGGATGATCAGCGGCCATCGCTGCCCATGAACCAAAGATAAACGTGCATGATTTTCAGTGGCAGTGCAGGTTGCATGCGAAGTCCTGCAGTTCGGTACACCACTGCAACTCAGGTCGTACAATGCCAAGGTAGGAATACTTTACGAGCAGGAAGCACGCAACGTAGGCTTTTGTTCCCCGATCCTCAGCATCCCAGTGGCTCCCCTAGCACCCAGAGTGGCCTGGACAGCACACGAATGCTCGTGCTAGGCCGGCTCTAGGCCCGGGTGGGTAGCCGAGCCCTCTACTGTCACCCCCGCTGTGAACCGCTAGCATGATGAAAACCCCCGCGAGACTTTCTCAGTCTATGGCTTGTTTCTACATACAGCCACATCAAACCCTATCTTGATAGTGAAAGATGGGAAGATTCAGAATAGGCCACCCCTTGCGCTCATTCAGAAATCCCAAGGCAGGAACTACGTAGCGGCTTTCGGGTGTTGCTAATCCAAGCAAACTTGCGGGCTAGTTGGCCTCCTCGGATGAGGAACATTGATTTGCTTACTGCTCCTAAGGTTTTCAGGCACAGCGCGCCAGGAACAGGAATAGTCGTGATGCCCGGAAGAGGGAGTACTTGGACTTATTCTCGCTGCTACCAATCGGACACTACTTTGGACCACACCCCTTACAGGTGCAAAGTGATTCACCGTGGAATTCAAATCTTGGCCAGAGACTGATGAAATGCTGGCCGCCATACCAGGAGACACTAAGGAGAACGTTGCAGTGTTACTGAAATCTTAGGTA